AATAGGCAAAGGTTCATTCAATGCTGGAAGGTACAGAAAAGAAACAACATTTTTCTTTAGGCGTGAGGCAGAGAGAAAAAGTGACAAGAAAATAAAGGTATAGGAGAACAAAAGACAGAGTAGATGAGAATGGGAGTCCATAATAGGGGAGAACATGAGGAGAGGTGTGGAAAGCTGAAATCAGCAAATGAACGGAGAAGATTTAGAAAGAGATTAGTGAGTCATTGCGAGACGGTCGAAGGTATGATCCAAATTTAAGAATATTTTTTTTTGAATGTCTGTCTTCAATAGGAGTTCTGAAACCCCTTTGCGAGAAAGCAGACAGAGGGATCAGAAAGATAGTGGCCATTAGAAATGAAACGGGGAACTATCGGTTTGATCCTCAAAGCCGTGACATGTTCCCTGCAATGGTTTGCCAGTGTTCTTCCTGCCTCACCAATGTAAATGGCTGGACATTTTCTGCAAGAGATGCGGTAAATAAGGTTGCTGCAAATACATGATGTCATCTGAGTAACAGGAATTGTCCAGAGGGGCCTTGAATGCGTGTGGCTATATATTTACATGTGATGCCACAGGTTGCGTTGCAGGCGAGGGTGCCTGGTGTTAGAAGGTTGCTGTGCACAGTTAAAGAAGCTGTGAACAAGAAGGCTGCACAGATTAGGAGGGCAGCGATATGAGATGAAAGAGTTCCTCATGTTGCAAGATGGGGAAGTTGACATTGGTCCTGGTAATAGAAAGAGTGGTAGGGTGGTAGGGAGGCACCAATGGAATGAAGTTGTGAGCTCGGGAATGCCTATTAGGCATGGTGACACAAAGGCTATTTTTGGTTCAGGTGAGGGCCATCACCTGAACCAAAGGTGGGGGCCCTAACCCTAATTAGAACAGATAAGCATATGTACCTTGTGAGTTTGAGATGCACATTATAAAGATAATTCATAATTGTGGAACTGCATTTCCTTGTCTCTATACTGGGATCGAAGGCAGACACCTATGAGCTTGGCCTCATCATTTTTTAAACAGTGCTCTGCAATTTCACATTGAGTCAATTATGCTACAAGTTAATTTAAAGAATAATGGTATGCTAGACTCATAAGGGAATGTCATTAATGAGGTTGTGTTCTTGGTGAGGGGTTTATTAATTCACATCGATCAAATGCCCTTGCAGCTATATTTCTGTGTTAGGTCTTTGAAAGCCTATTCTGTTACCACCTGGTATCTGCATTTTCTTATTAACCCCCTTCTTTAAGATAAAACTGGCCTACGGAATTAGAATTCCTAAGAGACTTAATGAGGAAATGTAGATTGAGGTGGATTCTTGACTTTGTAGCATCGGAAAATGGAGAAAAGGGCAGGATTGCTTCCACACAGGACTCTGGAAAGGGGCTGTGCTTGGCTTTGGAACACTGTTCATCAAATGCAGACACACAAGCTGGACAGCAGCAACCGTGTGAGTGATATTGATATTGTGACATCAGTGGTGCCAAAGCGAGGTGGAACATCAGGTCCTCTTCAGGCTAATTCACAGCTGATTGAAGTATTTTCTACTCAAACGGTGCTGCTCCAGATGTTTAAGAATACATGTAAACATCATGCTACAGATGCTACAGTTTTATTATCTTTTGAATAACGCTATGCATAAAGTTTGGCTTTTGTTTGTTGGTAATACATTTGTAAATGGTACTGTTGCTGAACCAGGCACTACATTCTTTTTGTTTGTTTTTTTCACTGCCTAGAGCAGTGTACATACTGTATACCTACCCCTGATGTATCACTATGTGAATTTGGATCAGCTGTGACCTAAAAGCCAAAATCAGTACACAGTGTGTCCTTGTGGTATGAACAATCAAGACACAGACAGCCGTACATATGAATAACATATGAACAGCTTCTTCTCATAAACAATAAGACTCTTGCATGGCAAAATGGGACAAAAGTTCAGAATATATGAACACCAAACAGGCTCGCTCACTAGTGTTGCAGAGGAATTGGGCTCAAGGCTGCTGTGTACAGAGATTCGTTCTGTTAACATCCAACTTCTGCTCTGTGATTATTTTGAGTGTTAACAGCCCATAAACAGAGCTAAGAAAAGGAAAAGTGGGAAAAAAAGTATTACATTCTAAAAATAGAGCAATACACTTGGAAATGAAAGTAGCGATCACGAAAAGCCACGGAAAAAGGTGAAAATTAAGTTTCATCTTAAGAGTGGCTGAAATTGAGTTCTTGTGTAGTTGTTTAAAAACAACTTGGTAATCAACGGCAGCTTTTATTTTGGTAGACGTTTTCTGCTTCCACTCAAAGGAAAGTCGATTGAAATGGTGTGAACAGAGAGAGACAGTCTTTATAAAAAGAGCATAAAGAGAAGAACAGAATGAACAGTTAATATTCAGCTGTCTGGCTTATGCTTCCATTTAAGTTCCACTTCTGCATTAATGCCAAAGAGTTTAGATGTTTTTACTGTAGCAATTAACATTCCGGTTTATTTGGTAATGGAGATGTTTAAATGAAAAGAGCTGCTGCACTTTCCTTTCAGATTTTAATTAATCTGCTTTGATACTTTTTTCAATTTCTGTATCTGCTGCGTGACAAAACAAAATCAAGAGATTTACAGGAATGAAATACATTTCAAATATATGTTAGGTGTAGAATGATTTTTTTTTTCAAATTGTTTTCTATAAGCTGTCTGACAACACATGGTTCAAGAAAAAAAAATCTGGAATGCAGTTTTCCATTCCAGTTAATTTTTATTAACTGTTCACACACTACACACACACAACCACTGTGAAAACAACCACTTTCATTTTCTTCTCGACGTGCAAGTTTCTCTTACCTTGGCCTGAAGGTTAGCCATGGACTGTTCAAAGGTCTTTGGCGGAGCCCGCTGGTGGTTGCACAGAATTGCAACCGCTCGGTTAGCCCTGTTGTAGGACAAGATCTTTTCAGGGATGTTATCCAACGCTGCAAAGCAGAAGAGAAAACCTGTGTTATGAATTCCCTGTTACACCATAACAAAATACTGCAATTGGGCAGCTTTCCAAGGTTTCCTTGAAGAAAAGGCCATTTAAAGCTGATGTCAAAATGCTGCTAAAAATCCCTTCCACTGATAACTTTGAAGGGAGCAATTTAGTCTGTTAAAAAATCTCTATAATTCTTGCATTTCTTTTGCTTCATACAGACTTGGTAAAGGGGTATTATGGTTCCTCCTCTATTTTACATAAACACAAACCAAGAGACATGCAAACTGCATGGCTCTAATCTCCAAAATGTGCGCCGTGATTGCTTGTTTTTTGCAACACTGCAAGCAAGCCCACACCACAAACTGCCAAGCTGTGATTCTAATGCTTGTGCAAACGGAGCAGTGAGCTCACAGGAACCAGCCAAGACACAGCGGATTCACTGCCCAACTTCAAACACCCAGCACCCCTGAGTGGTCATGCAACTGTGAGCCACCTCTGCAGGCTTCGAGGAGATAAACCTGAAGAACCGCTCCTGCCCTGGTCTACTTTTCAAGGGTGGACGTTTTTATTTGACACCCAGCAGGCAGGGAAAGTCCCTCCTCTAGCAACACTGTCTTCTTGAGCAAGTACTCATTTAAGGCTAAATCAATTCTACCCATATAACCTGCTTTCTAGCTGTGATCTTGATTATATCGCCTAATGAGTAGCAAACACCACAGGAAGTTCAGCAGTACTTTATACCATGTACTTTATGCATCAATTTGCCTGTCGGTTTTGTCCTTGGAGCATTTGCTTATGATTTAATTAGAGGTTATTAAGGATATCTTAAACCAATTTCTCCGAGGAATAATCTATAACACTGACACTTCCATTAAAACCAAAATAACAACGTTTGCGAAAGCAGTTTGGCTGGTATTGGAACTAACTTAATTACTATATCAATTTGTAATACAGCAGTGCTGTACTGCTCAGTTCATATTGTAGTAATTACCCCCCCCCCATCCTGGTGTGCAACTTTATGTGCATTAATACAGTTCTTGCAAAACTCTGCTTTGGGGGATATTTCCAGTGTGCTGTGAGTGATGGAATTTTGTAGGAAAGTCAAAGAACAAGAGTCAGGGAACACAGTTTCTCATGGCTACCTTAATGGTTTTGTGTATGTAATAAAGATTTTGAGTGATGGTCTTTGCACACTCACACAGTTTTTAACAAGTTATTATATTTGCACCGTTATGCCCATAAGTGTGAGCTCTAAGGGTGCATTCTGTTGCCATGCGTGGCAAATTCCCCACCTCTAACATGAGATTCAGCTCTTTCCAACATGAAGAAAAAACAGGCTGTACAGCTATGCATCCCACGTTAACTGACCTCAGTGTTTACAGCTGTGCTCCAGGGCAGAAGGATTTTCTGTTCTTATTTAGAGCCTTGTTCAGAAGCACTTGCTTCAGTCTGTTAATAACGTGGAGACCAACTTAACAGTTGCACAGGCCTTAAGAAGCTCTGGTTTTAAAGAGGCAGAAATTTGTTAAACCCTGGTTTTCTAGTCCCACAGTGTTCATCCCACCCCAGACAGCTCCATCCTACAATACACCAGCATCTATCTATTATCAGAAGGCAGCTTGTTCTTGGCAAGGACTGCAGCAACACAGCCTATTTAGGAAACACAGGAAGCAAGGCAGCAGAATAGTCAATCAAAGGACATGCACGAGTCCAGAGGCAACAAAATCCAAAATTGCCATAAACAATTCAGCTTCAGTAACCTTTTTAATAATCCATTCTGAAAATACACCTAAAAATAAGCATCACTCAACGGCAACAGCTACCAGTTAACATCGGTTTCTACAGTATTTTATACATTTCACATTGAATTCCAGGCTCATTCTGTCATGATTTTTTACTGTGCTTTCCTGAAACGTACTGTAGCAATCCCCCTCAGAGGGCTTCTTACCGTTGGTGAGCTCCTTCAGCTGTTGCTGCAGTGTGATCGAGGCGTTGTACGTTCGAAAGACCTTTGCCGTCAGGCCAGCCATCAGAGAATGAAGGTGTTTGTTCAGCATTGCAGTCTGGAGGACACAAAATACAGGCTGTCACCCGTCAGAGCAACTTGAATGTTCTCCCTTCATCGCCAGGTAGCCTACTGTGTCAAGATGTGGCACACAGGGCTTCTTTATTTCTCTTTTGGCAGAAAAGGATGTGATGTGGGATTCTGAATTCACACTTTTCCCCGAGAACATTTTTCATGTAAAATGTTATTAACTGCAATTGGCGTTGTGTACATGGCCACTACTAATCCCCAGTTCTAACATGGCAAATTAGAATCGTACAACTTTTACTGCAAGAATATGGACACTTCCACTGTAGGACTGTTAAAGGAATAAATTAAGTCTGCCATTGCTCTTCCTGTTGTTTACTCATTTTTAATTGAACAATGTGTATTTTTCATGGGTGGCACAGTGACACATTGGTTAGCACTGCTGCCTCACAGCGCGTGGGTCCTGGGTCCAGTTCTGGGCCTGGGGTGCGCTCTGTCTGGGGTTTGTACTGTATGTTCTCCCCGTGTTTGCGTGGGTTTCCAACAGGTGCTGGGAAAACTGGCCCTGGTGTGAGCAAGTGTCTATGTCTGTGTGTGCCCTATCATGGACTGGTATCCCGTCTCGTGCCAGTTTCTGGCTGGGATGGGCTCCTGCTTGCCCGTGACCTGTACTCGGGGAAAAAGCAGTTTTCACTTTACACACACACACAGCTTGGAATCACCAGGTGTTTGCATTTCAGGCCACAGCAACAACTCCTGTACTGTACAGCGATCAACTGACAGATCTAACAGCACACTATGAGCTACGATGCACCTAACAAGAGAGTCAGCATCTACTGACAGAGTGGTACTGTTCTCAGTGATGCCACTGCAAGTCCAGAGATGCAGTGGAAACATCAGAAGAGAGCCAAGAGAGCCCTCACCAACTAATCCCAAAGCAATATCCAGCAGGGCTCTGATAATTGTGCACTACCGCTTGGGAAATCACAGTAAGTTAGAGACCGCCAAGTTGTTAAATTTCTATAACATCCTCCATAAATGATTTTAAGGTGTCAGGTTTGCTTGTGGCATTGTGTGAGCATTGGACACTGCATAATTCCTACCTAAGTCTGTGCTGTAATAATTGGTATCCAGTCAATGCTCTAGGGGAGCCACAATTTAATAATCAAGCTGCGAATATAATAAACACTTTTTTTATGAAAGTCTTGGCACCTACACACTTACAGCAGGTTACTTCAGAAACCATGAATACACAGAAAACAATTAAAAGAGGTAATTAAGAAATCAGCCTCCAGTAATTAAGTGCACAGTTGCAGCAAAAAGCAGAATACAAGGGGTGCACCGCAGGCAAGACAGCTGGACTCAAACACACATTGAAATCTACCTCTAATCTTGCACACTGCCTGTTGTCTGTCTTTCTTTTATTATACAATTGTATTGTTGTTTTTTTGTACTACTTATCATCTGAAAGCTAGCTAAATAGCATTTTGTTATACCATATACCTGTATATGAGTATAACCACAAACTTGAACTTGACTTGAATACAGCATCACCTAGTGCTGTTATTTCCCTACGCCTATGAAACTCAGGTCAAGTTAACATTAGTAAAGTCCAAGTCAGTCCACTGAAAATGTGTATTTTATTTTCTATCTCATGTGCACCCCAGTTGGAATGGTACAGTAAATTGTTTCTTTAGCTCTCGGTTTACAGCAGGGACTCCTGTAGCCACACAGAGAGCGAAGAGGGAAGAGCATGCTCATGACACCAGAGCCACACAGCTCAGCCTGCACTCGGTGTGAGTGTTTTTACTGGCTGAACTACCTGGAAACCCTTCTTAGTTAAATGTTACAGATTATGATTTACAGCGTTCTCAATTGTTCTAACACAGTAGTTAACCACATTTCTTGTGAGTTAACATGTAAGGTTTCCCGAATGGGAAGGGACAGCGTTAGAGCAATAGTTCAATTCCACGGTTGGGTCCTGGGTTTGATTCTCGACCTCTGGTGCTCTCTGTGTGGGGTTTGTATATTCTCCCTGTGGTCACGTAGGTTTCCTCCCACACTCCAAAAACATACTAGCAGGGTAATTGGCTTCTGGAAAATTGGCCCTAATGTGAGTGTGTGTTTGTGTCTGTGACTGCCCTGCCATGGACTGGCGTCCTGTCCAGGGGGTACCCTGCCATGTGCCCACTGCTTGCCACGTGATCTTGAATTGGAAGACGTGGGCAAACAACAGATGGATGGTAGCACTATTAATGACAGCAGCCGTCAGTAGTTTGGAATGGGAGTGTATCACACAACAGCTTTGTCATCTTGTGATTATCTTGACACCTTCATGAGAGACACAGTATAATAATATTTGTTGTACTATAGACATCATTAAACGTTCTTCAATGTTGTACTGAAACACAATGATCAGAAACCACTGCTATCCTAAAGAGAGGTAAGATGTAAGTCTTATCCTAGTCGTATCCTAAAGAGAGGTAAGAGGTAAGTATTGCATATGCATGATACTGTGGGGTGGGAGCACTCTACCTCCTTTCTGGATTTGAATTCAGCACTTTTGCTATGAGTGAACTTAAAACCTGGATGGACAGAAGTGTGGGATAGCAATACCCCTGTCCTTGGAAATAGTGTGGGTATATGAGAAGAATATCAGGTACAAAAGTCTTGTCAAATCAAGTTTAGAATAGAGAAGTTGAGAACATTTGCGAGAAAATAAATCTTGAAAATTATTTCAAATGTGGTATCTTGAGGCAAAATAAATCACTAAAAAAGTCCAAATTTTATATAAATATCCAAATGCTCTGAGTAGGAACAATCAATCGGGTTGTGTTAGATTTTAAACGTTACTGTAAATCTGATGACAAAAGTGCTTAATGTTATGGGTAAGATGAATTCCATTAAATTCCAGATGATACTGTAACAAACTAATAAAACCTAAATACTGTACATTTTTCATTTAATCCATTTATTTGTAGTTCTGGGCTGATGATGATCCCTCTAGGAACATGACAGGTTATGAAAGATGAAAGGCCATTTAACCTTACGCACTAAAAGGGCATGTCTGATGTTAATCAAAGTTAAAGCAAAATTACACAGCCAGAGGTAAATCTGTAACTTCTGGTTACATTTCCCATTTACAATCAGAATGACACTCCACATTCAGGAGCAGTGGGCGGAAAGACGTGATAATTCATTTTATAATGCTATAGTCAGGTCAGACCTCCTGCTGACACAGAAGCTCGTCGTATAAGCGTTTCTTGAAAAGACTGCTGACTGCAGCAATACAATATCACTCAAGCAGTAAGGCAACATTAATAAAAGAAGATAAGAAAGAAACACGCTGTTATCTCAGAAGATCTCTAACTGGCAGAGATCTCCCCGCTGCAACTGAATTTCTTCAGTTGCCAAAAATGAGAACAAAGCCTTTCCAAAGTTATTTTCGTTTTCAGCAGCCACCGACGTAGTACCATTCTTACTGATGGTCTGAGAACGCTCTTCACACTGAATATACAGACTTAAGAAACTAATCCTTTGCTACAGCAACAAAGGTAAATGAAAACAAGAGCCCTGATCTTAATATTAATAGAAAGAATTTTGACATTATTGTTGAGAATTGTATATGTGTATTTAATACTGTGCATATATATTGTAGAGGATTTTATATAAACAAATACCATGAAGTAAACCCACCTTATAATACTCTGAAAGACACTGTATGTTTACTTTATTACATATAAAATGAAAGATACTTAACAAGCTGCAGTTCAAGTTCACTATCCCTAGATGGGGCTGTGGTACTGATGTACTGCATGTCTTCTGCTGTTACGGAAAGAAAACCAAATATCGAAAAGAGATTTTTTTAGAACATTGGGATTAAATAACCGATTAAATTGTTTTTTTTTGGCAATAAGTATCTCAAAGTACCAGCTGAGTAATGGAAGAAAGTTTCTATCAAGAGCAGTTTTTGCAGTGGAATCTGTCACAGTCAGAAGATGCAATTACTAATTTCCTTCTAATAGAAACTGAAGTATAAAAGATGCATTTAGACCACAGGCAGACAACTCCATTCCACTGACCAAAAAATCAAAATCAATATAATTTTGCTTGGAATCAATCCTCTTATGATTCTCATATCTATCTTTAGATGCTGCAAAACACTCTAATCTCCATGAAAATAAAAAATAACCAAAGCCACCGCTTCTCATACTGATCACTTATGCTCAGACAGCCCAGGTGAAGGCTTGGGATTGTTCTCTTCCTAACAGGAGACAAGATGACATGAGGTTTAACTTCACCCTTTAAGAGTCTAGGGACCCGATTAAAAACAGGATCATGAGTTTGCATTCTAAATTAGAAATTAATTATACTAAGCACACAAACCTGGATCTAATGGCGGTTCATACAGTACATATTGAGGGCCATCATGCAACAGGCAAATGCTTACTCGCATCTCCCGTTCTACATTTGGAATCCTTAGTTACTTTTTTGTTCCACCCATTTGATTTGCAAATCAACTGTGTTGTTCACATCTCGGCTCGCAGCTCTGAGCCCCATAACAGCACACGGTGGAGAGTCAGGAATTGCAGGCTGACTCCAACCCGCCTGCCTTCAAGCTTGTGTCTTTTGACACATCCCTTTCGGAGGTCAGGTGCTGACTGGTGGAGGGACACATGCCCCACAGCAGCACCGCATGCCAACAAGCACCCAGGAAACTGCAGGGTCGCCAAGAGAGCTGACTTATCCCACCATGCCCTCAGCGGCGCTCAGCCAATAGTGCACTATTGTTCGGAGAATCCCAGTCACAGTCGGCTAGTGACATGAGCCAGGCTCAAACCTGTGATCACTGAGATGAGCCTGTGCAGGGGCGAACACCTTTACTGACTGAGCCACGTGTGAGACCCCATGCTGCAAAATGTGGGTTTCAACTTGCAGACTTCTCAGGCAAACCAAACAGGTTGGCATAGCAACAGCAAGAGCACATCCTGCCAAATAGTCCTTACCAACTGCGCAGAAATTACTTCAGAAACCTCTTACTCCAAAGTAGGAACCCAGAAACAGATCGCTTGTATTGAAATCACTTGTAATATAATCAAGTAGCATGACTACATTAGCTCTATATTTTTATTTCCAGAAAATGTTGATGATTCAGAAAACAGAACCTTAAGATCTCCTTGGTTCTGAAAACCCAGTTGGAAAAAAAAAACCTCTGTGAAGCAGGAACAGCAGAAAATGTTCACATCATTCAGATCTTAGGTTTTCAAGGAGGAGGTAAAGATGATTGATCAGGGTGCAGTTGATGTTTTTGATTCTCCTGTGCATTGTCAGATAATGTGATTTTGACCTCTTCAAGCCCATCAGGCGGTTATTCTAGTTTTATTTCTCAGGAAGTACACAGAAAATTTAGAAGCTCGTGTGAGATGCATCAGTGGCCTCACAATGCATTGACAGAGATCATTAAAAACGGAATTGATGGTCTTAACTGGCGCTTACAGGAGTAATATGAAATCTGTTATGGAACGGACGCAATGAGGTCAAATTCCTCAGAACAGGCGCCTTTGAAAGCCATCTGTTTAATTAAGTATGGACATTGATAAAGCTGTGCTGTGGGAGTCCTGGCTCCTTTTTCAGCATCTATTACAAAACCACGAACGCAGCGCAACACAAAGTTTCTAGCTGCAGATTTGTGCCACAGAAACTGTTAAAAAGCATCACCATTTGCATCCTCACGTTGCCCCCATATAGCACAGCTTGTGCCAGTATTAAAAAATCAGCTGCCTGAAGAGGTTAGAACGCAGCTTAGCTCTGCTTACTGCTTAACTGAAACCAGAGAGAATTCATTTTCACAGCAAATAGTGTAAACTCCAGTTTGGGGCTAAAGCACTTCTTAAATCTGGCTATTTCTGTCCTCTGCTGCCTTTTTAATAACACCTTTGCTTGCTCAACCTCTTATTAACTGTTCACTGAGGTGTGCCCGCAATCTTTAACCTCCTGTCTTGGCTCCGACAGAATTTCCCCGTTTGGGGAATAGTATCCACTCTCGGAAAATACTCAGGTACTCACACCAAGACCGCAAAGCTCTGTGAAGAGAAACATTTTGTGTTTTTTTTCTTTAAAAGAATACTGAATATGGCAAAAGTTCAGTGGATTTTTAAACCAGGTCACTTACTGTATGAAAAACAGACACTGAGTATCGGAAAAGATACGGATGAGAGTCGGCACCCGGTACTCTTTCTGAAGTTTAGCAGTGAAGTGAAATTAAAAGTGAATTTGCTCTATGGATAGACCTGTTGTCTAAAGCAGGTAAACTAACAAATGTACACAGATAGAATGGGCAGCACGTGCCAATAAGCTTAGAAAAATAAGTCATTAGAAAACGTGAAAGTTGAGTAGAGAAATGACAAAAAGCAGAGACAAAGGTGGAAAACTACCCAGTACAACATAAGGGAATCTTTCCTGAGGAATTAACTACAAGTGATAGGGCTTGTCTGGGGAAGACTAGTGGCGGAGCAGGTAAACCCTTTATTGCAATAATGCTATAATGTTCCAATACCTTTCTATGGGTTAACAGCCCCCACTCATTCACTAAGAGCCATTTGCCCAAAAAGCAGTGTCGTGATAACCCAGGGACTCCCAGACTGTGCATTCTGCTGCAGTTCAGCTTGACAACCGGGGGTTTGGAAAACAGTTTTAGAATCACTTTCCTGCCTTGTCTGTAGCTGTCATACTAAGCTGACAGGTGTCTACAGGCCACAAAAAGAACCGACTGAGGGAGAGTGAGGAGAGAGGAGGGGGCTGACTCTTTTGAAGACAGACCGACGTTCCGCTGTACCAGGGTCTGGCCGCTCGCCAGGAATAGTGCTCTTCTGTTTGTCCCTGGACCAGGATCCCACACGAGTTTTTTTCCCTTTGCTCATTTCATATCTCACAAGATATAGGGCAACACTTTATTGACCCTAAGAAAGCTCCAGAGATCAGCTGAAGAGAGCCGATATCAAGCAGCATCTGATATCAGAGAATGGTGGATGAAATAGTGGGCTCTCTAGGCAAACAGACTTGCTGCTCAGGACGTGATAATCAGAGAAAACGGAGATAAGGAGAGAAAAAAAGATCAACTCTATGCGGAAATGTATCAGACACATTCTACATACACCCACACATATTAAAGATATTTTAGCCATAGAATATAGATATACATATGTAAAGAGACTGGAAATAATATCAGCTCCCCCAGAGGTGCAGTATATGTATATGACAATGCAGCTTGTTACCACTGATTTTGATTTGATTTTGCCTGCTTCATTTCATCCTAATGCTGTTCTTGCAACATCATTTCAAAAATTAAAAAATAAATAGGGATGACATTTTGAAGCTGTATTACTGTAAAAGACTCAAGATGAGCATGGATATTTATCTTTATATGCCTCAACTTTAGGACTCAGGTTATATGAAGTACCAGAAAAAAAAAAAACTCTGAACCACATTGAGTACAGGCTGTGGAACGTACTCTGTAATGCTGTACAGGGTGATAAGCAGTGGGCATTAGTCAAGGAAATAATTTGGAACTAAGCAGGGTTAGGAAAGTCTTAACCAGTCACCATAAAAATCCAATGACCTAAATATCAGTGAAAGCCTCTAACAATGTGTGAACAGCAGGGACAGCTAAAAAAGTAACCATTTTGATACCTGTCTCCGTTAAACCTGAAGATGTTTCTTAGATGTTTTTTTATTTGAAGCTTTAATTATTAAACATCTGGACTGCAGACCCTTTAATTTACACAGAACCCTGCCGGCATTTCAAAGGTTTCACATAAACCACTGAAGATGTCAGACTGAAAGTTTTCTAGAATATTTAATGGACCACAGGGTGAATAAAGTGGATGAGTTGTGTAACAACAACAGCTTTAATCCGACAATCTGTCCAAGCAGAGCTGTTGCCATTTTCTGAGGCTTTTGCCCTTGATCCTTTTGATCTAAGTATTTTTGCGTCACTGAACAAATGCAGCATCCCAAAGTGATGTATACAGCTCTGTTTGGAAATACAAAGTTCATCTTTGGGACAGTTGAGGAACTCTGACATTCTGGGGGCCTGTTTTATAACAGATACACAGAGTGTTCAATCCCTTAATTACTGCAATCAAGTGGGTCGTTGGGCTACTTGCTTGTTTTGCCACAGTAATGAAGTAATTATAGCCTTGGAGTGGCATTCAGCTGCACGAGCCAAGTCACAGTCCTATGTGGTTTAAAAATTCTGAGGCACAGAGATAGTGTCTTATAAACAGCTGAAACTGTAGAACCAGCTGTAGAAAATCAGCACCTTGTGCACATGCATGAGAAAATAGTCGCTGTATTTAATGGAAGAAAACAATGCAACTTAACACATTCTTGGCATACACAAAAGCTTTTCTTCCTGTAATGTTTATTTCTAATACAGTCTACTTAATTTAAACGACTATAGATTCTGGAGGCATTTTAACATCATGATCATCCTCACACACTATACTGTAGCTGTGACGCCAGCTTAGCTGCTGTCAAAACTGGACGGATTCATTAGTGTACCCAAGGGATTTAGAAATGTCACGTTCCCGGGAATTCATCATTTCTGACACCAGAATGGGTGGCGATGGATAGACGCTCACATATGAGGAATGGTAAACATTCCAGACGGTCAAAACACAAGGTAGCACCAAAGAAACCTGAAACTGCATACTGGAAGGGGGTTGACAAAGCAAAGCACAAAGAAGCAGCTTGCCAGACGAAAACTGAACTTGTATCACGTGAGGGTTAGCCCCATTCAAGAAATACAGTAGTACAATGGAGGCTCCCACACTTTAATATTATTTGTTGCTTGTGAACAAATTAAACTTTACTGTAAGTTAAACCAATGTTACCAGTGGGTTTCCTTTATGTAATTTATGGCTGTAACATTGTGAAATTTTCACTTTCTCCCTTCAAGATAATTTTGACTTAACACTGACTAACTTATCACTTCCAATGAGAAGTGCTCCAGGCACATTTTCCTCCAGCATCTCAATTCTCACCCTGGACAACATTTTGAAAGGATTTATTTTGCAAAGTGGAGAATATTGTACATCCGTAACAGTTTTCACTGATTGAAACATACCGCTTTGATCCTCGCACATCCCAAAAACAACATTACTCCTGTAATCTAGTCTCTGTGGGTTCTGTTTCTTACATTTTTTGTTGATTTCTTAGCTGGTACAGCTGGAGAATTTAATTTGCACTGATGCAATGATTATTTGGGAAGAAAGACCATTATCTCCAGGCTCAAAGGGAAGTTTTTGCAGGACAAATGGGCTTAATATACTTACATTCAGCCTGTCAAACAGATCATCACCAGGCTGCTTGTCCTCCATGAAAAGTTTCAGGTTTTTGAAGACCTGGAAATATAAAAATTAAAGATAAATTTTACAGTTTCCAGTGCTTGATCATATTAAATAAAATGGTTTCCCAGAGATTTCTTTTTTATTTTTGTTCTGTCCCACTACAATGCAGTGCTTGAGATTCTGGGTGTACCATCACCTGAAAGAGGTAAAGGGCAGGTACTCTGCTCTGGAAAAGGACCCCTGCTTAGCAAATAACAACAACAAATGCCAAATGTTCTTGTTTTATTAAGGTAGTATTTGTTTTTTTTGTAGTCTGATGGCCTTATAAAAGGTTATACACAGTGGCACCCAAATAGAAATAAACAACAGATATGTCAAGTGCCGCTGTTAGTGAATTATCCCCAGGGAAACTCAGACTTAGTGCTCATCTGGCTCCTGCAGAGGTGCCTACATCTGTAAAATGCGGCTGAAATGGTCGTCAGGCAGATTTACTGAGAGTTCACTTGGATGTGGTGGAAGTTATTGGAGGGTAGGATAAAGCCAACAAATGTGATTCTCAATTCCCAGAGTCGACTAGGGATTATAATGAATCTCAGTCTTGCCTCCATACTTTTGAAAACAGCCCTTTTATCAGTTACAGTAAACCTTCAGTTTAACAGACTTAGCTTTAACAGAGTTCTAAAATCTGCTAAAAGGGGAATTTTGTCTGTAACATCGGTAATACAGATTTTAAAACAGACTTTCCTCTCAATAACGGACCAAGAAGCATAGCTAGTCCGTAAAACAGGCTCGATTTATTCTTAAAAACAGAATAAAAGATAACCACAACAGAATAAAATAAAAGTATCAATGATTTGCCTGTAAAATATTTTCAATGTAAAACACTCTTAAAGCTCATGTACAGAACAGCAACAGCATCATGGTTTGACACCGCATAAAAGAGTAGAATTAAATGACTCTACACTTCATGCATTTACAAAAAATAATTACAGCACAGTAATATACACTAAAATGAGACAAATATGCAAGAAATCTCTGTAAAATGCAAAAATAATAAAACAATAACATACAACACACCTTTAAACTGGTCTAGAATGCATGAATATCAATGGTTCCCTATAGGGGTAGGGTAAATAGTTAGGATTGGGTGTTGTTTGTGTTTCGTATACTTTAGCAAATTTTATACAGTATTTTTATAACATAAAATAAAGAGTTTGTATATTTATGATAAAAATGCACAGGAATATTTTTGATTTATTGTAATAGTTAAAAAAATAAATCAAAATATAAAGAGAGCATATATAGTATACAGTATACGCTTCTCATATAATTGTTTTGGGGCTGAAAAAACATTCCTGTTTAAACTGACATTTAATGAATAAATCAATGCAAGACAGGCTCTGTGGTTCAGTGTCTTATACTGTAAGCACCCAAATCTTCCAAGCCTTTCTGGCTAACGGTTATGGATGAACTGACAGACCAAAAAGCACAAGTGCTCAGACATGCCTCAAGAACTTGAAACTAGACAGGCATTCAACAGTTAAAACGACTTTTATCTCAAAAAGATAAAGAATCCACCCTGTCCTAGCCAGTGGCTCACCCCTGGGCTGTGTAATTATCTGACTGAAACTGGAATTTCCCGAGCTGCTGTGCACATCTGACCACGCAGTGCTGGGGCAGGCCAGGCTATCCTGGGCCTCACAGGGCCTGGCAGCACTCTGTGAGCTTGATGAAATGTCATTGAAAATGCATCAGTCTCCCTTCCCATCAGTGACAAGCCTTCTTTAAGACACTATAAAGCTTGCAGCATGTCAGCATGTCTGAGGGGAGAAAGTGTGGTCTTTGTTCTCCTCCTGCTGACACAGGCATTGTAGCAGAGAGCCAAGCTGATTAGCTTTGCAACTCCAAATTAGAATGGAACACAAATCTCTGCTGCATGCACACCTTTGCACTGCAGATGTATCCTTGATGACAATTCACCAGTCAGATTGCTCCAGTAAAACACCCAGTGTTACGAATGTAGTTGTTTTGGATGAAGTGTCAATTAAAAAATATAGCTGCACAAAAGATCTGCATTTGTCAGTTAAATTAGAGACTTTGACAGACAAAGTTAGAACAAACATACTTTTGTAAGAATAAAGAATTTTTACTTTGGGGAAAAAAAGTAAAAAAGACCCACAAATTTTGGAAAAAAAAAAACATTCAGTTTTTCTAGTTCTTTAACACTGCTCTAAATCTAGCATGATTTTAATGTGCCGCTTTTAAATAATCTAATTTAAATAAGAGAATACTGGTGTCCTGAGGGCAATGAGCACACAAGCAAGCGAGAGGAAGCCATGTCCTCTCTTCGAAATAAACTTGTTTTGTTAACCATTACTTGAAGCAGAATTACACCAACCTGTATCAAATAAATACCACATAAAGAACGTTTCACTTGGGAAAGTGAAGACTTATATTTATATTGTAAAATCTGTAGTGACGAAACAGAGGCCTGTAAAACAATTACACTTAACCCTCTTTACCTGAAAGATCAACACTTCCTATTTGTCACGTGAAATGATAGCTGCCACTCTATCACAGCACATTTTGTATAGTCTGTGTATTTTATTAGTACTCCTGTGCGTGACAGACCCTACCCTGACCTAGGGCAGGTCCACAGACACGGGCTCGAACACTGCTCAATCATAGTCAAACCAAGTGCAAAAGGCTTTATCCCCCCTGCCCCCTTCAAGTCTTACAAAAAGCAATGCTTAAAACCCTCTATCACAACTAGCGCCATGCACACTCAACCATTACCACCAATTTCACCCATTCTACACTAGTCAACAATAATATAATTATCACTTGAAAATGCAACCCCTTCTTAAGTCATCCTGCTACACAGCATTATTTGTATAACAAGGGAACAGCCTTTAAAATTAACAACACATTTTAGGGAGTATTCAGACAGAAATCAGCACCACAGACAGCTCTTACAGAAAGTAACGGCAGTCCTGGTTCACAGTCTCTCTCGTTTTTACAAGGAGAAAGCACAAACTGTATGAGTGTTGAGTAAACAAGCGGCTCAAGTCCACAAATACCAAGCACTCAGGTCCTCTAAGCCTCAAACTGATTGAACTGATTTGCAGTGGCACTGAGTGGGCAGAAGGAAATACGCTGGAGGACATGATCTCAGCCACCCACCTAGCTTCATCTCCGAACGTGAATGTATTCTCATATTCTTCAATTTAAGTCAATTCACAGCCTGCTTTCCCATGTGGCTTCCTGCGCCTGTGCTAACCTGGCCTTAATCCCTCCTTTTGTTGTTCTGGAGTTTGGAAACATCTTGTGAATAAAAGCTGTTCATGCGATTTATTCTCAAAGACATCAAAACAACCCTATTTGCAGATTAAACACAATACAAACCTAAGATTCTAGTTTTTGTTCCTATGCAAGAAACATGGGAGTTTTACTTCATTTGGACTGAAGCAGAGCTAGTGCTACAAACCGACCCGTTAGGAAAGCAGACCTATAATAATGAAAGGGATAAAAATCTGACCCTAAAGGCAGACTTTTAACAAATACTCTGTATCTGATAAGTCACAGCAATCATCAAAAGTGTTTATGTTCATGACATTTTTCATAGAAATTGTGTTTTAAGAAACATTTGTTAGCTCAGGCCTCAAAATTATTCTTACACGACTCCCACATCGCCGAATTTCAGGAGCTGCAACTATCGTGGTTATGTCTACAAATCGGTTTTAAACCCACTTCTGCAGAGCCTCGTCTTACCGCTTTCTCCACAGGGACTTTGTTGTAGTAGCGGATGCAGTCTTTACCCAGGAAGTCGAACTCGACCACATACTTCTCTCCATCCAGCTCTGGGTGAAGACTGATGTGTTCCACCCGCAAGGAGCAGCAGCCCACTGTGTCTGCGGTCTCCCCCTCTTCCTTCTCATTGCCCGCTCTCAGGGCCAGCTGCAAAACACGGGGGCTACAAGTTTATCCCAAATACAGCCGACGCCTGAGATATTCCTAGCCTATTCCACGCCAGAACGTCTTTGCACACCCTCGATGGTTGAAATGATTGCTCTACAAATGCATAATGCAGGAAGTTTCTACAGCAAAAGCCACTGGATTGTAAGGGATGTCGACGTTCTCTGTATCACTGCTCAGCATCCTCCCTTCCTCCCACACACCCTTACTCATCACCACTGACAATGAATTTTACCATCTAAATTGCTTTTAAATGTGTTGAAACAAAGGTTCAGTTCATAATTACTTCCTCATGATAACATGTTTACATGCTTTAAATACAGGATTGCATGTTAAGACTAGATCAAAAACTTGCACTGGCAGGGGAAGCCCAAAGCAGACTCAACACAGATAATGAACTCAGGTGTGGTGCCAAGCATGTCAGAGGGCTTCTTGCTTCTATCTATTCAGACAGGAGGTTTTTAAAGCCTTTTCTTTCCTCACACCGAGTACCGCTGTTGCACATTCCCTCAAAGTGGAAACAAATTCTTTCTGGCTGAACATACCCGACCCGTGAAGATTAACCCGCCTCAGTGTGCTACAGCTGCCTGATACTGTCACTTCCTGTTTTTGCAGGGGCTTGTTTCTGGCCTTGCGAATGTCTCTTGCAATCTAGTCACCTGCCTTTCAAGCAGTAGACAAGGACCCGGTGAAAGGTGTCCGAGGCAGTTGTTTAGCTTGGAAGTTAAACACATGGAGCTGTAACACAGCTGGGAATTCCCATAGGCACCTGTAAAAGCAACTCCATTGCCCTAGTGGGTCAAGTGGGTTTCATGGGTGACAGCCCAAACCTTTGTGTCTCCAGCAGCCACTTATTAGTGCCACATGCATTGAATGAGCTGTGAAGCTGGTGTTAAATGGTCTTGATAAAACAGGGTGATTTAGCCCTTCTTCCTGAAGCTGCTTCTGTCTGTGCACAGCAATTTACCCCCTGTGGACAGAAAATAAGAGGGCCAAGGGGGGTGGTTTCTCACACATGCACACCGTCTCCAGGACAAGTCAGATTTTGGCTGGTGTGTGTGAATAGTGGTTCATATTTGAAATTCTTAGGGTTTATTAAAACTTGCTTTTTACAACAAGCTTGATATTATGTTGCCTCGAATACAGACATCTTTCAGATCATCATTCGTGTTATCAATAACAGCAAAAGTATTTCCATAATTGAGGGAAAAGCCGAAGATGCATTTATAGATATTGTTACCCTTGAAGTAGTACTGATCTTAGGTTTATATCTAAAGTGTAGGTGGAAAAATTCATCTGTCCAGGGTAAAAAAGGTAACTGAAGTGCTAATAACACTGTAACACTGGAAAATTATTTGCATTTAAATGCAGGAAACTACTGATTGCAAGAACTGTTAATAATATTTGCTAACAGTAAAGCCACTCTCAATATTGCATTTGTAGCTTTAATTATAAGTTATGGGATCACTTGACTCACAAAGGCATTACCCCAGTCTCTGGTGTTAACCACAAACAAGACACCATGTGTCTATTTACAGCATGTGGCAGACAGGCAAACAGGTCTTTGCAAGACCTAATCAGATTTCTATTACTGCCGCATACTTAAAAAATAAAGTATAAAGGCATTGTGATGAATGAATTTGAAAAAATCCCCCACTTAAAAACATTCAGAAAACTTTTCTCCTGAGAAGTTCTCTAGACAAAGAGTGGAATACTTCATCTAACCTAACAAGCTAAAGAATGCACTCAAGAAAGTCTAACTTCTATTCCTGGGGGATATGCACAAAGACCAATCTACCCTATAAAGCAGGATATTTCATTCTCTCGATGGGAGTAATTTGGTTGAAATGGCATCATCTTCAGATACAAGTGCAGAGGTTGAAGTAGGCAAGAGGGGTTTTATCTCAGGTTTTACAGACAGGGAAAAATACAGGACTGTCTATCACATCTTTTTCCAGATATAGCAGTCCAATTCAGTTCTAATGGGGGCTTTGGAAGTCATAGATAAAGTTCTAGGACTAAAGATATGAAGTAAAAGAAGACAGTACACCTCTGAGATAACTACAAACTCTTCATTGCAGTATAAGAACCACTCAGGATGAACCTTTCACAAAGAATGATAGGTTTCTGTGCCAGAACAGTACTTTGACTGCACTGATTCACATCAGCTCCTCAAAAAAGTATTACAGTACATCTGCAAAAGAAGCCATGATACTGATATCTTTAGATGGAAAGCAACAGAAAAGTAAGACTTTAGAATTATTTAGTAATTCTCTAATTCAAATGACTTTTTTTTGCAAGAGGTTGGCAAAAGAAAAAATCTGATATCTTTCAGAAATGTCTTGAAGTTTATTTTTGAGCATTTTCTAACAGCAGGTAGAAAGTTACTGTTTCAGTTTCCTCAGTGCTTTCCTAGTACCCATACCCATCAATAGTGACAAGCCTTATCTTTAGCTCCAAAGGTGCAGCCGATGTAAAAATCAATCAGCTTTTAGGTAATGAAACACAAAATTCACTATCCTCACAATGTGGTAAACATAGGTCTCTCACGGCAGGCGATTGTAACTTTAGAGACCTTCTTCGTCCTGTTACCTTATCCTGGAGTTTAAGAATTATCAGAAAGCTGGCTGACAGCTGCAGCTTCTTGCTCCCACAACAGGCAGGTAAGCCTTGGAAGACAGGGGGACTGACAGCAAGATATGGCAGTGAAGAAGCTTCTTCCTGAAAATCTTGCTATAATGAATTTGGAAAGGTCTGTGTCTGAGACATCTGTTGCCTTCAGGTATATAGTTTATCTGCATTTTCCTGTACTGTCATTTCTTGCTAGATGAGTGTTCCTTGGTGTCAGACGGGCTCAAGACGTTCTGAACCTAACTTAAGCAAACTTTGGAGAATACTTTGGAGAAAGACTTACTTACAGTGCAGATAAGCCTACTCAGACAGCCAGGTCACAATATTCTATGGAGCCCCATGCCCCAGTTTGTGGTTTCAACATTAAAGTGCAAAGTAAATGCTGAAAAAATGAATATTTAGCATTACACCTCTGGTCCCAGAATATACAGAATGATCCAGATGATTTTTTTGTCCTTAACAGTGAAATATGAATAAAGTGAATCCACTATATTGTGCTCTATTGTTTAGGCTTATTCAATACAGACCACACTGATGCACAAAGGAAATCGTTCCTGATGCATCCTGTGAAAAAAAGACCTTAACTTAAGACTACATATGCTGTTCATGATTCTCTTACATTGTTAACATGTAGGGTTTAATCTGACATGCTACCAACTGCTTCTCACAAAAAAGCCCTTCAGAAAAGACTTCCCCAGGCTTAATGACAGCAAAATGCCACAGGAAATTATCACCTCTGCTGCACAGACTGAGGTTTCCAGAATGGTCTTATTTGGAAGCAAACCTTTTTTTTTTATAAGATGATATTAATCAGATTTTTAAAATCAAACAAAGCAGTACTCCCTCTCAGCTGTAAAAAGGTACAAACCACAAACTTCACTGAAATTGGAAAAGGGTTGATTATGTGTAAAACATGGCTACTCTCCATTCATGAGCAAGACTTCTGCACAAAATTCAGCATTGCTACCAAAGTTTGAGTATATTTCAAATTTAAAGCTGAAGACATCTGGCTGTCAAAATGGGATAGTCAAATGTTGGTCTGTATTTAGGATTCTATGACCTAGTTTTTAAAAATACTAGCTCTATGACCACGAAGGATTCTGGACCTCTTACCTTGTCTATGAAGTAAAGTGCCACAGCTCTTTGTCGGATGCCCATCTGTTTGGATTTCAAGTCTGCCTGGTACTGTGTCCGTATGGTTTCGACGCAGCTCTTCAGCTTTCGAGCAATTTCATACTTTTCCCAGTCCTTTTCTCCCTTTCAGAGAAAGAAACCTCTAGTTAGGAAAGGTCATCTCCTAGGTAATATCACCAGTGTCCGAGGTTTTCAATACAATACACGAGAAAATCATAACCCTGTATCACAGCCTTTCCGGCCTTAAAGACAACAAAAACTACTTGAAAACAGGCAGAACAATAATTCCAGAGGAATATTCCATAATTCACAATGCTCAGCAGATGGCTAGTTTAACAAAAAAACAGCTCCTACATATCCTGGGTATGTATGTTTTTTTTAAACTTCCAGAATGGAAGAGAGCAATGCTGTTTGCCCTCTTCTGTCTTGGCAGATGGGCTCAGTTAGTTTATACAGACTTAAGATTACGTGTTTATGCATTTCACGGAGTGCTGATCTGTAAAAATGGTCTGAAATAATAGTGTTAGCACCTTGGAATTCTAATTAATCAAAAATTTAATTAATATTTAACCCACACACAATACCCGATGATTTACAAATCAAACACAATCATGGTCAAACACTCTTACACCCACCCTTGGATACAGAAACCACCAGCTACTCCAGACCTACAGTACAGTGGGTGTAGAAAGAACTGACCCATTTTCCCACATTACTACCAGAAAATGTGATAGACTTACATTTTTTTCTCTTTTTCTCTTTTTATCAGTACAACATCTTCAACAATATCAATGTTTAGAAGTTTGGAGCTAAAACAATTAAAAATAAGAGCCCCTGAAACAGTGAGGATAAAAGTTTTGTTGTCTGACGAGACAGAGTTTAGCTGGCTTTGCTAAGCGTTATATTGTATCTCGCAAAAGAAGCTCGTCACTCACAAACCACCATCCCCACACTGAAGCATGGCAGTGACAGCATAATGTTGTGGAGTGGCTTTTCATCCAGAGGGACTAGTAGGCTTGTCAAAACAGAGGGCAGAATGGATGGAGCAAAATATAGGCAGATCCTGGAGCAATACCTGGAACAGTCTGCAAAAGATTCACATCTTGACAGCACAGTGACCCCAAACACAAAGCCAAAACCACCCTTGAGTGGCTTGAAAAGAAGAAGGTGAGATTCCTTGAGGGGCCCAGTCCGTGCGGACAAATCCCATAGAGAACCTGTGGCAGGAACTGAAGGCTGCTGTGCACCTCCACAGCCCTGCAACAGCTGGAGCGATTTGCAAGGAAGAGAGGGCGAAAAACCCACAAGATGTGAAAAGCAGGTTACAACACACTGCAAAAGACTTGAGGCTGTAATTGCTGCAAAAGAGGGAGTAACTACATTAAAATAAAAGCTTAAGGTCTCAGGGGGGTGACCACTTATCCAAGCTGGATTTTTCAGTTTTTATTTTTCATAAAATGTTCTTTTACAGTAATGATTACGCTCCATTATACCCCCCATCAAAATGTTTTTAGTACAAAAACAGTTGTCGAAACGTGCTGCAATTTGAGGCTGTAACACAGCGACGTGTGGTAGAGGCCCAAGGATGGTCAATATGTGCTACACCCACCGCCAGAGGAAAGAAGAACTCAGTTTGAGGCAGACTGGAAAAAAAAAAACGTCTGGACCCATTTTGTTTACATTTCATCTAAGTCAAGACTGGCAGAGAATGTCTGGAGGCCTCTAGTTCTACACATTTCGATATCGAAAGCTTTTGTCATCTCATTTTCTCCAGTGCAACGTAATCACTTCTGGACATTCAGCAAAGAGGAAGTCCCCCAAAATGCTCTGTCGTGACCTAGGGAACATCTGACAAAGGGGTTGACATCTACAGTACTGTACATACACTGAACATTGTTTGATGAGATAGCAAACAGCATGTGTATATCAGAGTGGGGTAAATATATGATCAGCAATTGGTTAGATCAAGGGGATTAGTCCCAGGCAAACACTTATCCACAGTGTTTTACTCCTTCAAACAGGAAAACCACTGAGCACTTCTGAGGAATCTTCAAGCTTTCGAGGCATTTTAGTATAGTCTTTTGTAAAAATGAATAATACATATCTACATAAAAGGGAAGAGGCTAGTTTTTTTCCCTCTTGGAGAACAGTGACAACAGTCATATCATGGAGAAGACCTGAGAAATTACTTTTAAAAAGGTAAAAGGAACAAGTACAGTACATGTCCAGGTGCTTCATCTGGCTAATGATACCAGTCTATGTTACACCAGTAGTGCCATTAAAAATCAAAATATTTTTATCCTCCTAGTAATTTTCCATCTTTTTGATGCAAGAATGAGCCACATGTCCCAAAGCTTTGACAGAAGAATAGAAGAGTGAAAAACTAGAAAAGGTTACTGCAAAAACGGAATCTCTGCTCACTGAATGAGCCTGTGGAACAATAATGCCAAATTAGGTACGGTATAACCCACTGGTTACCAGTCTAGTTCCACCTGGCTTTGTTGGCTGCCTGTCAATGTCTGAGAAAGCTGTGGTATTGTGAGGAAAACCAGCTCAAGAGGTCATTCAACACTGGCTGAATCCCAGCTGTGTGGCTCATTTGACATGTCCAAACTGTGGCTCTAGCACCTGAACTTGTTGTGTAGGTTATACAGTATCATCCACTACAAAGATAATATACTGTGATGTTCTTTTACATTATACCACCACAGAAACATTGTGATATTAACAAAAAGGTTTGATTGTGAAATCTCCTATCAGGAGCCCACAAATTGAAAAGCTTAGGAAATGAAGAACATTTAAAAGATGGTCATAATTTTTTTTTTTTCTTTAACAGAAAATACAAATCACCGTCATTGCTTTTAGTCTAATCTTGCCCGGGGCTCTTCCATTAGTGTGACTCTTGTTAAGCTCCCTTGTGAGAAAGGAATGTCATTGCTAACCAGTGGAATAACACACAGTAACCTTCAAAGCCAGACGGAGGAGGATCTGTTGCTCTGTCATCGTGGGGCCCGTTCTTACATGGCCCGTTACTCCTGTATTACGTCTTGCACGCAGACCGAGACTACCTTGCGGGGAACTTGAACCAACACAGAGCTCGGGCTGATATAATTAACTGTTAATAATGCACTTCCTCGAGAGGCTGATGGCTTGGTGTGGAAGGAGAACAGGTGGCAGGGAGCCAGGTGTGCCGGGGGTGATGAGGAGCTTGGAGATCATTACCTCCAGCCCATTCCCCCTGCTCTGCCTGTGGGGCCGGCAGCCCACAGTTGAGAAATGGAGACCAACGTCGGCGCAGGAGAATTAGAAAGCTGAAAGTTCGTGGCTCAAGGATACAGCAGTAGGGTTCACAGCAGAGATTAACGTTTTTAAGACTGGCTGGCTGGAGTTAAGAAAGTTAAGAAAGTTAAGAAAAAGCACACACAATTTAATTTAACCGGTGGATGCGGAAAACTAAGAATTGAGTCACCTAACAATCGCACGTCAGGATCATAATGAAGGAATGGGAACAACAAAAAGCACAATGGCAAAAGTGAAGAAAAAAAAAATGAACGTTGTCAGGCTGTCCAGTTCACTTTCCTGATAAAAGCCGTCTCCAAGTGATTTAAGAAGAACATGTTCTAGTGGTCCGACATTTAAAACAGCAAAAAAAAAAAATGGAAGAAAGAGCAGAGGTAAATTGGGCCATAGCACACGTTCAAAGAATCCCACTGGAATCTAAAGCATTACAATTCCATTTAAACCATTCATGGAAAAGAAAAATATTTTTTCATGAACTGAAACATTTGTAATAGCTGAAAGGAATACTGACAACTCTCAAAAGATCATGCACTGCCACCTCACTGATGTTAACCAGGGAAAGAACACGTTTCTTGATTAATCTTTGACAAAGAAAAGAAAGCATTTTAATTTAATCTTTTTGTTCCCCTCAAAGTCAATCACAGTTGGCATTGATTTCCACACTGTAACAATTATGGGGTTGTTAAATTGTCTCAGCAGTAGCAAGCATGGTGAAAGGTGCTCAGATAGGACACTAATACTGTCACATTTCATTAACAATAAACAATGACCGTAACTCCAAAAGGTCAAGACCAACATTCTGAGAAAGAAAACAGTAAAAGAGGGAGAAGGAGAAGAGGGAAAGCTAGCAAGAAAGAAAATTTCAAAGCAAAAAGAGGCCTGCAAAATTGCAGTACTCGCAAGGCACACAGCTGTTCCCTATTCACATCTTTAAAATTGAGACTCAAGCACTTAATAGCTTTGCCTTTGTGTACCAACAACCGTACAGATTGAGTGCATCACTGACAGGGAATAATGACTAAAAACCTTACGAACATTTTTCAGTTTTCAAATTAATAAATTTACAACAAAGGAAAAAGAAGGTAAGGGAATATGGAGATGGAAGGGAGAAGATGAAAGCACATCCATGTCCTAATGCTTCACATGATTGGAATCAAAAGGTGTAGTATATAGGTCCACATTTTAATCAAGCAGGTAAATTAAATTCCTAAAGCCTCTTGACTCTTCTGCAATACCTCAGAACCCAGGAGAGACACCTGTTCTGAATCTCTTTAAAAGTACAACTTTCTTCTAGCAAAGTTTAAGAAAAGAAATCTTAAAGCAAGACAGACATTGCACATAACAGCTTGCTTTTAAAAAATGAGATTATTAGAGGCAAATGGTCAGAGAATCACCATTCATTTTTCATTACAAAAGCCTATTAAAAGATGCATCACAAGCCACTGTCTTATTTCAGTAAAATTTAAAGCATTTCAAGTCTGGCCAAGACGCAGCTGTGTTCAACTGGGCTGAAGGCATTAAAAAATGAAAATGTTCTGCAACAGTAAAAATCAGAAAAATGCCCAGAGACTTTCACAAATCTATTACCAAACAATGCAGCAGGAAAGCAGTTTTACTTACAATATCAAATCATTCTTTGGTGCCTCTCATGCCAGTCTTGGATTGGCACAAAGAATATGTGAAACTGCAGATAAGGAGGAAGGTGTGTACATCTTTGGTATAACCGGTTATTTAGCAACATTACTAAAATACTTTACATTATTAGTCAATAAATTGGTTACTAAAAGCTGGGCCTACACCTTTCCCAAGAATAGTCTTATATTTGCCTGCAGACATTTGCATGCAGCCAGAAAGTGTCAGCATTTTCTGCCTATGATGTTTATGCATCTTCAACAAAATTCAGCTCCCACTTCAGAACATCCCCAAGATGTACTATATGACAGAGCTGGTGGCTCCTAAGTTGATAAACTGACTTAACCGTTTTGGTCACAATTTGAATTCTGTGATCCAGATGTTGCGAGTAGAAACTTGGGTCATATTACCAGCTGACTGTGACTGGAAGTGGTGGCTCACAGCAGGCAAAACACTGCTGGGACAGAGCTGGGATTAGGCGGCCAGCTCGCTCTCAGTTTCCCGTGAAACTGTAATCAAAGAAATTTCCCCAGCGCTCGTGCGGATGTCAGTGAGGGACAGACCTCTGCTGTAACCCACACTGAAATCTCTGGTGCATCACCTTAATTGCCTTGGCCACCCAGCCACTGCACTGCACATAAGTTATGGCTTTTGAGAACAATGGCTTTTGCTTCCAATTACTTTGTACTTAAGGAAAAAAAAAAACTAGATTAGACTTGCGTTAGAATTCACATTTCATTGTGCAGTAAGATTAATGAAACGCATTCCTGCAGGTTATTTCATTTCCAGGTCTGTGTGACCTTTAGACTGACTATTGCATTGAAGGGATTTCGGGGGGGGGGGCAGTCGAGCATTTGAGAGCCAGTGGCACTAAGCATTTCTCGATTTAATATTCACAGCACTGTGTTCCTTACCTAAACGAACGTCCTTGCTGAAGTAAATTTGACAGGGAACAGAAGCCTAATTTTAGCGGTGTATGTAAACAGATTAAAATAAGAGCCCCTGAGTTAGACAAGTGTTACAGCCATCTTTGACATTCAGCCCAGTACAACCTAGCCGTGAATTGGGTGTCTTTCACTTCTCTACTCTTCTCTTTTCACGTAAATGAAAGGTCAATGAATATCAAGCTGTTCACACGGTAGAGTTAACCATTATAAAGTGACATAAACCCCTTATACAGTCCTGCGATATGAGCTCTGCTGTGCCAGTTAAGAAGGACAGGCCATTCATTACACAGCATGACTGGTGTGTGGCAGCAATGGGAGGCAGTTTGAGGAAATACGACTTCACAGCTTCACCTGGCACTTGAATATCAGACTTACAGACCTGCAGCACGTCAGTCACTTAAGGTCACTGCTGGACGAAAAAAGGGTATTGTGTTCGATAAAATGTGACACTAGAGGAGGACATGATTCCATCTAAAGAACTAATAGGAACTAGCTCATTTTTTTCAATTCTTCTACATTGTGCCAACTATGAAGGTATTCAAACTCGCCACAGAACCCCCTTTTAGTGGCTCCGGAGAGACTAAAACACTCTACACAAGCACTACTACAAAGCACAGCCAGGCCATGCATTTCTTTTCACACTACGAACAACAGCACAGACAGCTGAGGGAGGATGTTTCCACTGAGAAATCTGCAGGCAAGCCCCAGGGCTTTCTGCTGATACAGAAGAAGATCCCAGCTGATTCTGAGCCAGGGGACCTCTAACAGCATCTAATCAGCTGTGTGCCACCTCTGGGGGAATCCTGGTCGGAGCTGCTAGTGATGACATAGCCTGGATTCAAACCTGCACTCAGCAATGTGACCACCCCCATAGTTACCCCCCCTCCCCCATCAGTTTGCAGAACTTCTCCACTTACCTTGAGCTTGGAGTTAGCGTTGAGCATGACGTACTTGCACAAACCCTGCACGTTCTCCGTCCAGCTGGCCAGCCATGTCACAGTGTTGTCACAGCGCACTTCCTTCCACTGGTGGCCCAGGGGAGGCTGGGGGATCTTCGAGTCCCTGCCAGGAGCAAATATGGACAAGGAACAGAAACACTGACTTCACCCGCCCTTCAATTAATAGCTGTGAGGAGAACACAGCTTGAGAACAGTTTCTTACTGTGCTAACAAAACTCTTTTAGTCCATTTCCTCTTCCGAGACCCTTAAGTGATTAGTAAGAGGTTTGCTTCTAAGCATGGACGGGTTAGCATCTGTCAGCTGTCATGCAGAATTACTTCCAGCTACTGTAGGCTCCTGACCTTTGCACAGCTATTGTATTATGTTTTAGCACCTTGGAGTATTTAGATTTCATTAGTGCATGTTCATTACTCACACAGTATATATATATATCTCACTGTAGTCGATGCCCAGCAGCTGAATTGTAAGACTCAGCAGGTTAGTTGTGATCTAGAAATCCTTGGCTACTATTTAGCTGAAGCTTTGAAAATTACGTTAAAAATACAATGACATAATATTTTCTATAGTCTCAGATCACTAAAAGTAAAAGTTATAGTAATAATAATAGTAATTAATAGTATAAGATAATTAATAACATTGTAATAAGTAGAATTAAACTGTAAGGTGGGTCTAATGCAGCATGTGCAAAATTAAGTCAAATCCAGTGCATCACTAGAGTATGGGTTTAAGCAAAAATCTAATAAAAGGAGCATGTGATCCGATCACCACTCGTTGCAGGAGTTCAGTGCTCGCAAGAACACTATTAGGCTGCAAGGCAGAGAGATGAATCAGCCCACCCTGTGCCATCTGAACAAGTCTGTATGGGCCCAGAGGGGCAAAGTGTACCCTTATTTCTATGACATCAGTGAACAGAGTGCATGACTCCAACATTTAAATTTGAAATTTAAAATTTAGAGAGGACAAGTCATGTATTCGTCCTTCAGAAGAACATTCCATTGTTGCTCTTAATAAAAAAGAAAGTCACATTATTAGGATATGGTCATATACTGTAAGCTAAGTGTCCTTTGGCTGCAATCATTTCCAGTGGTATGTTCTTCTGTTCTTTATTTCAATAGTGGTTTGTTTTATTCCAACTGCAGTGCGCTGATCTAAATGTACTTTGTAAGACGTCTCACTAAAAAAACTTCAGGTCTAAGAAACTGGATTGGATTTGTAATTAGCATAAAAAATGTACCAACTTCAAGGATTCATTCTGTAAACAGCTGGACTCTAGGGGAGTGTCTGATACTAAGTGTGGATATCCACTGGTCACTGGTAATTTGTGTAGAAAGAAACAAAATGGAAGCAATGGAGTCTTGGTTGCTAAAGCTTTTGGAAACAATATACTGTAACCATAGCTGGGTGTTTTGCGGACTCGGAAATACATTGAAAATCAATAAAAAAGTTCAATTCAAAGCATCATGGTCTAAGTAATTAGGGAGTAGAAATTAGAAGTAGGATTTAGAATGAGAGTGAAATGCAGGCTCCCTCTAACACTATAGTTAGAGGGCGGTAGAGTTGGGGCGGAGCGGTGTCTCTGTGGCTCAGGATCTGATCCTGTGGCTGGAAGGTTGCCGGTTCAAATCCCCTGTGCAAGGCCCTTAACCCCAATTGCTCCAGGGGTGCTGTACAATGGCAGACCCTGCGCTCTAACTCCCAGCTTCTCTCTCCGTGTCTGTGTGCCTGTGTGTCTCATGGAGAGCAAGCTGGGGTATGCGAAAAGACAAATCCTAATGCAAGAAATTGTATGTGGCTAATAAAGTGATCTTATCTTAGTTCCTTTAGGACAAGCTGACAATCATGTACTCATTAGAATATATTTAAGAATTTCATGATATGTTGAATTTAAAACACATCTGAACCCAGAAGTATTTGCAACACACTGGAGAGAAGCATTACATCTTGCCCACTTCAAAAATTAGACCAATTAAAATACTGAGAAATCCAAAAATATCACAGCCGCTGTTGAAAGTGAGTTTTAGAATACTAATATACAAAAAAGCAGCAAAATGCATTATTAAGTGAAAACCCAAAAAGCCCTAGCTACCACTGCAATCAATGGCTTTCATAATGGCAGTGAACCAATTACTGCACCATTCGAGGCAAGCCATCTGAGAGAGGTATCAGGGATGATGAATACGCAGCATTTCAGCCCCTCAATTACAAAGCACCTGTTTATAATTTTTGCTGCTAATAGGTCTCGGCAGCGAAAGAAAAAAAAATCTTAAATTCAAGCACAAAGGTTGAGATTTAATGGAGTGCTCCAGCTATATTTCAGGTTGTCTGAACCCTTTAAAATCCACATGTTGAAGTGGATCGACAGTGACACAAACCTCAAAGCAGAGACTCTTTTGGGGAAAACATGGGAAGCCTTGGGCTGCCACAGAGAGTCAATCTGTTCAGATTCAAGCAGCTTTCCTCAGAGGAGAAAAGCTACAAGACTCCCCTAGCTTCATTTAATGACTACCATAGAACACATAGATGGAACTGAGGCCAGTTTGCACAACCCTAGTGGTAACCTTCAATCGATCAGTCTGATTTTCCATATAGCACCTTTCTATAAGACATCATTTTCAAGAGCTTTTCACAGCTAAAAACTGTGAGACTTTTAAGAATTGAGCAATAAGCCAAAAATAAAACTGTGAAATGTAATGTAACTCTAATATGTACACAGAAAGAAAAATATATATACTAAAATTGAGAACCATATTAAAAAAATGAATTCCTGGCAGTTACCAAGTGGAGAAGCAATGTTATAAAAATGTGAGTCCAATTGTTCCACAGATTAGATGCTGTTAAGCCAAAAGCTCTGTCTTGTACTCATTTTTGTATACATGAAACAGAAAGCAATCCAGTGTTCTGCAATCCCGTGTTTTCATCAGAGTGAAAAGATTGTATTATTTTAAAAGTATATTACAGAAGATGTCTTGTATGAGCAATGTCTCCTTTTCTAGGAAATAGTTTATAGCCAAAGTACTTCAATTATACATGTAGTGTATGAGAAACAGCAACACAAAGATGTAGAATTACATCATAGCAGTACATGTAATAATGCAATGTTAAACATAAAAGCACAAAATCAAAACACCCAAAGACAATGTGTAAAACTAAGTAAGCATGCTTACAGAATAGCAACAAGATGTGAGGTTTGTGACTGAAGCCAATTTCATCACATAGGAAATGCACAAATATGATGTCAGTAAACAGCTCTTAATTGTAAATATTCTAAGACATACACTCAAGACTATCAGAGTAGACTGGTTCCTGAGAAAATGTTGAAAATAGCTGGAAGATGTTTAGATTACCTGTAAATTACACATATTGTTTAATAAGTCAAATTCACATACTAAAATCAATCCTTAACCAGACATAAGGCCAGTGTAGCAATGCTAGTGTAGAGGTAATGGGTTCTTATCTCTGTGTCCCAATTAAAACTGGCAGCAGTATTGTTCACAATTTAAAGCATATCATGTTCCCAGGAAACAGTGGCTTCTGAAAGGAGTTAGATTGTCTCCTACTTGCTGCAGTTGATGATGACATCCTCTGGCTGGATTCTCTTCTTCAGCATTCCCTGCTTTGGATGGTCTCCCCTTCCTCTGAAAAGTCCCGGGGGCTCAATTTTGAAGTTCCCAATTCTTTCCCGATGGTGATCCAAAGTGCAATAGCCATACTCTTCCAACAGTTTCTGATTGGCATCTTTGGTTTTCTAGCAGGAGCATCCAAACAAGTGTGTGAATTGGCTATAACATACAGATCGTTAACCATTCTCTCTTTATGAATAAACACTGCCTTCATATTAACGACCAGACTCTTGCAATACACTTATAAGGTATACGGTAAAGGCTCGACAACTTCTGGAAATCTAGTATGATTCTCAGTTCTATTTTAAGAGCTGAGGGAGCAGCCTGAGGCAGGGAAAGATGGCTTCAGATTACTTTCGACACATTGGAAAAGAAAACGAGCTACTTACCCCTTTTCTTCAGCGTGAGCTAATAGTCAGTAGGCACACACGACGACCTGCCTTTCAGGCAACCTCTAATTCCATTATGTGTTAAGCACCATCTTTATAACCACACTCTGTTCTCAGGTCATACCAACAGTTTGCTGCTCGATACATTATTTGACTTTTTTTCTATTAAAAATTCTCACATTATGACTACTTCAACAAACTATGAGGCACAGTGATGCACGTGACAATTCAGGGAAAATCCTTATGCTCTCTTCCTAGTTCAAACTTAAAACAGCCAAAAATACAGGCAAGAAAAAAATTCCACAAACTCTTTGACCCTTGCTGAAGGACATAACGCTCCAACATTTTAATATGTTGTGCATGTACTGCTGAGTTTCCTTTTATTCCAGGTGTTCCAGCAGTAAATTGGCACAGTTATTTTCTATTCACCATTAATAAGATGCATGCCATTATAACATACAGTATGAATCCATTAGTTTCAATTCATGAGTATGGACAGGAGATGGGTGCCAACTGAGGCAACAGTCCATCTCTCTCCCCTGACATTGCCTACTTGAGCAGGAGACTACAGAGCTGTAACATACTACACTGTACATCCATTAATCCCTAATTGACATTTGCATTTTGACATTAACATTCTGGGCAGCCAATGGATACACATCAACATCAGAGCAGATAAGCAATAGCTAAATTATTAGGGAACCCTACATGAGACCAGAGTCTTGACATTTTTCACGATGGCTTCCAGGGTTAAATATACCACAAAAAAAATGATGTTCAATTCCTGGGGTGCTGATTGTGTGGCGTTTGTATGTTCTCCCCGTGTTCACGTGGGTTTTCAGCAGGCGCTCTAGTTTACTGCTACAATCCAAAGACATACTGGTACTTTAACTGGATTTTGGGTAGAATGGCCCTGATGTGAGTGCGTACATTTGTGTGAGATCCCTAAGATGGACTGGGGTCCCATCCAGGGTGCACCCAGCCTTGTGCCCGTTGCTGGTCAGGGCAGACTCCCACTCCCCCACACTCTAGAAAATGAAAGGATGGATGAAATTATTGATGACTTGGATTCTCCAAGGAGGTTCTAGTACTGTTAACTTCGATAGGCATTCCCCATTTCAAAAAGCATGCGTAGGCAGTCACGATGCAAGAGTGAAATGGCATCAATCTTCGATGCAAAGGCAGATTCATCTGAGGCTCATTCGCAGCCTCAGCCCCCTCTGCAAAAAGTTACTCACCTGCTTTTCTTCCTTGCCTTGATTTTTTCTCGCTTCCACTTTCTCCTTGTGCATCTTGTAAATTTCACTGAAGTCACACTTGTTCAAATCGGTGATGATCATCTTCTCCTCCAAGGTCATTTCCTACAAAAGAAAAGGAGACATCTAACATTTTGCTTGATGCAGCAAACAGAAAACCCTTTAGGCTGTACAGAGTAGTATTTGAAGACTACTTCCAAGCATGTGAATATTATTACTTTATATGTTGAATGTTTCTTAATTATACAAGTAGGTATACATTCCAAGATTGAAAATTAAGCTTATAATCATTGTGGTTGATTAATTACCCCAAGGCTAAAGTTCATAAAGGATTGAACTCTATGAGGACTAAACTATAGTACTATAATCATCTGACAACCACTGACTGGTCTTTAATTTATTTTGCAGATATTTTTTATTAGCTTTAATAGGTATTTTCTATGGATATTAATAAAATGCTGACTTTGTTTTAAGTCGCAACTTTTTGAAGCTTTTGTTCTTGAGGGCACACCTTGCATTGCTAAGTACAGAACCACAAGTCTACAAATAGCTTTTTTATTTTGATCTACATTGACGTAATGAACAGCAATTTTACAGTAACTATAAAAAAAATGGTTAGTGAAGCAAAACATTTACCTACTGAGTGAGGGAAAGGGATTTTGTCCATAGTTCACAACAGTGGGTTTTAAAAAACTCAGGACCATGCTGCTCTCAAATTTAAAATGGAATGATGTCTTAAATGTCTCATTAGTTTAAAATTACTCTGCAAAGATTTATACAGCAAACAAGCTCCTTGAGGGAAGACTTGTTTGTGCCTACAATGGGAATGAGCCTACTGTGCATGATGTCAGCTCCCTCCATCAGTTTTATTAATGCTGTGGAGAGGCATAATGAACAAACCTTCACCCTCAGAAATGCAACATTCTGTAACAAAGAACTTCACAATAATAAAAATAATCAATGTCTGAAAATGAAAATACAGGTATGTTATCTGCAACGGAAAATGCTAGAAATCACAGACATACTTCTGCCATGTCAATTCTACATGGAACCACATCAACTGTACAAATGCAATAAGACCCAGCATTTTATTTGCAGCCAGATACTGCTGAACAAGAGTTCAGAATTATTAAGGATGAAAAGAAATAGAAACAAATCTGAAAACACCTCTTGAATATTTTCTAAGGAAATAGCATGGTTTCAAAGTGAGGAGAGATACGTCTTGCTTAACTTCATCGGTTAACTACTGTGAATGAGAAGGCAAAACTCATATCTTATCTAGCTGTGCGTGCACTGTAGAGGAGAAAATGACCTGTATGTTTGCTGCAAAAACTTACTTTTCCATCATCTCCAGACACGGTTTCTATACTTTCCCACACAAGAGGGCTGACAAATTGAGAAGTGTTCCTCACAGTCATACAGGGATGTCTCAGAGATCATGTGACATTGCATAAAATGAGTATAACCCAGCTTGGTGCTCAGTTAAAAACCATCTATACAGTACCATGTGTAAGATATACTGTAAACTGTGCTGAACTCACCACAAAGGAATTACAAGTTAAGATGCAGCAAGTATGACAGGTAAAACACTGATGTGAGAAAAATATCAGAGACAATATCACATGCAATCACAGATTCATTCATGCTTTGACATGGAAGTGCACTGTCCATTTCATTTTAATGACTAATCTGAGGGCAGTAATGATTACCCTCAGACACTATGACACTAAACCACGACTACCACCTATTTGGGCATGAAGAGTTTACCACACAGTAACACGGATTGATTATTGAGAAAACTCCCATGTGGGATGTAACCCCACTTCAGCAAATTAAAGTGTGCAAATGAAACAAAGTCAATGGTGAAATTAATTAGCATGGATATGAAGAGGGGCCATTAGGTTAACAGTTAACCACAAAGATTAAATGCATAAATAATTTTGAATACTTCTGCAGTACATATTACTCTAGCAAGTAGAAGATTAATTTTCTTTCCTTGGTTACTATCCTGATATTTAAAAGTAAAAAGTCTAAGTCCATCTCACTCCATTTTTTAAGTTCTCATGATGAGCTTTCAGTACGTGGGTGTGAGGCATACTCCTGTGAGTTGCCTTTTGACTCCTACCAGAAAAGTAATGAAAAATAAATTATTTGACTTTTTCCATTCCCTGTGGAATCGTGGATCATTATTGCTGTGTTACCAGTTTCGGGAGTGCAGGTCTTTCATTTCCTAAAAACGAAGTGGTCCAAAGCATTTTCACAGTTTAACCGAGTCCATTACTCGCCGTGTAGGGTCTTAATTATTGAAATCCCCTCTGGAATTCCACAGAGAGGAAGACAAAAAATTCAAGACGGCAACTCCCTGGACTTGTCCTGGGATCAACGTGCCAATGGGTTTTGAAATCCCTAACAGTCAGGAACAGTAATAAGGGAAGATTACTTACACTGGGCTCCCAGGAAACTGAAATAACATTCAAGGTTTATTCTTTCAGGAGCAATTTAACATGTTAATTAAAGTAGCTTTGCACAGATGGGCATTAAAAAAGCACATGTGGTAGCACCTCAAACACCTCAGATGTCCTCCTGTTACTGTAGATCCTCGATCATCGTTTCCAGAACTGGCCTTTATCAGTCCGGGGTGTGGGTAAACAGTGTGTGATTTCTAATTAAGTTAATTACTGAAGTAGTGCACAGTTGCTCCGGTGGCCCATATGGTTTGCTTCATTCACTAACTAATAGTTGCTCTTTTCAACACGTATAGTATGATAGGTCTGTAGATAATTGTATAACGTGTAGTCAGTACTAGAGAGAAGTGAGCGTGCACACACTTACTTCAGTTTTCATAGTCCAGCTTAGAAAGATGGTTTAATTAATTTAAGGCTTAACCAGAACAATTGTATTCTTCTTGGAGAGGTCTACAGCAGTGAAGGTGATAAAAAAATATGAATTCTATATTGGGATGGTTTTATACTGCAAAAAGTATTAGAAATGATCTCAAACAAATGCAGGACAAAAAAGCTCTAAAAGCAATAGAAGAACTAGGAAAAAAAAAACAAATTGATATTACACATCACCACTGATATTACACCAAATCTGTTACATAAGCCAAGATGTCCTGCTCTTTACCTCCCTAATTGGTTTTCTGTAAAACATGCAACTGATATCATATTTCAGGCACAGCATCAGTGCAAGAACACGTTTATTCCTTTCATTTCTCGCTTGTTTCACTAATTATGCTGGCAGGCGTTAAATCCCACTGCAGTGGCTGACCTTTTATGTGGACCATGACCCAGATAGCGTGCTGTGACAGAATTGGGTATTGATCTGTGGCGGTGTTCATGAAATGTTTAATCTGAAGTATCCTGGCACTGTGCTTTGGTCTCATATCCTGTTTCCAAGTCTGAGAGTACTGCTTGGAGTTGGGGAGGGATGAGAGGGGAGTTTGCTGTTCTGACTCTTAGACCAAGATGAGAGTTTCCTGGGTGACTCCCTCCTCCAGTCAGGCAGATCTGGGGGGGGGGAGAGGCTGTGTTCAGGTTCAGGCACTAGAGTGAGCCACTTGGGATTGCAGAAATCAACCGCCATCCTCAGATCAAGGCATCCAACCTTAAAAGCAAAGAACCTATCACGTTTCATCTCTTATGAAAGTCATGAGATCTTACTCCTATTTTGTTCACAAAGTGAAAGCAACACCCAGACTGTTACTCTCATAATCTTGCAATGTTGAAAACTCCAGCTAGGTGGTTGTGAACAGCAGCAACAAGAGAACACTAACTGTACTTTAGAGGGGTTATTCTTTGAAAACAAATCCAAAATGATTAATCACAATCGGTGGCAAGTGTGCAGGTTGCAGCACCCTGTTACCATGCTCAAGCAAGAGAGGCTTAGCTACGTTATCAATTCTGAATTTAATACCATTCAAATGATGTCTGGATTTCTTGTTCAGTGTCAAACAAATCATTGCCTCATCCTTGTAAGTTAATAATCAGTCTGCTTTAAAGGGAGAAAGTGTCAGCGTGATACAACAACATTAAAAATCAAACTGTCAAATATGCCAACAAACTGTTCTGTACCAGAAAAATAGGCAATTCGTTTCTCATGCACCCCGGTAAACAGCATGATCCACCACTACCGTAGATGTTCACCTTTAATGGAACTGACAGCTTTAGCTATTTTCTTCCATTTACAAAACAGACTCAGATCTTACAGATATAGAGAAAATATCCTGTGTAACTTTTATCCAATATATAAATCTTACATCAATTTCCTCAAAGACTGTGAGAAAGGATACCACCATTGGTATTCAGGAGCAGCTGTTTGAAAAGCAACAGCAGTAAACAAAACACTACGTAGCCACAAAACAAAAACCTGTTTACATTTTTGATTTAAATCCCACAACATTTAAAACGCATCTACCCTATTTCACTGTAACTGCTGGCTTCACAATTCCCCCAATCCGCTCCACCACCAGAAAGACCTATCAATTCAACAGTAGCAATTTTGATTAAATTCTTGTGCAAACTCAAGATAACATTTTGTCTTTTCAACCTTTTCCCTGTATTTATGTTTGCTGCAGGCAGATTTATGTCGGCCTGTGAGTTTTATATAGACCCAACTGAGGTAAGGTTCAAGCTCAGACACACCTTTTAGGCTCAAGGCCTTCAGTACTAACCAACACAATCTTTTAGTTGACAAGGCCAAGACAGCTTAGTACAACAAAGCTAAAGAAAGATAACTTGGATATCTGTGAAAATAAAAAAGGGTACACAAAACTACACACAAAAAAAAACCTGCCAAGACACAAAAACTCCCACAAATTACAATGAAACAGAGGAATGTGATAACCAGGTATCATGTCTGTAATAAGCTTAATATTAGATTATTACACCTAATGAAATTGTGAATTGTGTTGCAAAGAGCTGGTGATATCAGTTTGAGAAAATAAAAAAATTCAAAAACCCATTCCAGTACATTACAATCGATATTCAGTGTGTGAGATGTCTGAACATTTTTGTATCATAAGAAATCATGAGTGTGATGATATACTGTACTGTATAGCATGCGCAGGAATCATCCACCTTTTCGAGCATCTTTAAGAGGACAAATATATTCACAGACATCGATCTTCATGACAGGTCTGTCCTGATTCACATGAAGTCCAAACTGTATACCACTTTACTAAACAACCACCTCCTCGGTTCTACATTTTATCAAAACATTAATGTGCATCACAGTGTCTTTGGAAAGGCAGGCTTGCTGCATCATTTATTCAGCTAATGAGGAGGGCAGGGTGTCCACTGCAGAGCTGAGGGGAGAGAACACCTTCGAGTGGAAGAGGTATTTGACGGCAACAAAGACTTACTCTTTCCTAAAAATGGAAAGGCAAGGCAAACACTGTAATCTGTCATTCTTCAGGTCATTCTGTTAGAGACTGGTTAAAATGTTGGAACAACACACTGAACAAATTCACAGACTGAACATTTTTTGCATTCCTGAGGTAATGGTAACTGTGGTATAAACGCTTGATACAATATGGACTGAGTTCTAGTGATGCATTTTATCCTCGTTCAAGTTTGTGCGTTACAGGTTTACTAACCCTTTAGTTTTAGTTTACTAACTAAGAGAAGACAGCAGAACTATTACTAATGGTGACCCACATAGGTTTCATTATCATTTACTCAGCTTACAAGCATAACCGATTCCCGGTTCAATCAGATGAATTACTCAAACGATATGCAACAGGTACCCACGCAATCTTAACAAAGTAAATAACTATGCTCTGAAATGTTTAATTCACTGCAGAAAGAAGCAGGCATGATAACAAGGGTTTTGAACATGAATGCTCACCACCTCCATCGTGCCCTCTGATTGTTTTATGGATTTGAATTCTCACAGAAAAAAAGTTAATTTTTACATATTTCGGTAATTAGAGCGATTCTACTCTTATTAGATGAATTTCACAAAGAATAACATTAATGAACGCAGATGTTAGACTGGTAAGTACTTCACACATTTGTTAAAAATGTCCTCATTAGCAGCTCTGTGCTCCAAATACGCAACAGACACAGACATAATTAGTTATGATAACACAGTCCAATCCATTAATCAAACAGGAATTACAAACAATGCACAGCAGTACTGTGATAACAGATCACAATGCAATTTTTCAAACGAGCAGAACATTTCTAGTTTATTTTTATGTCCGCTCCCTTTTCTGTCTTTTTTTCCCCCGATTATTAATTCAAACTGGATCAGCCAACTTATTTTTTTCACCCTATAAGGTTTTCCACCATTAAAGGAGAAAGTGAGATTGCAGACTATTTCTAAAACCCATTTGGGTTGTTAACTTACCATCTTGAACTGCATGATCTCATTTTGTGCAACACCGGTACAGATTAACTGCAGTTAAGGAGAGAAAGGATTTCAGCTACAACAATGGCAGCAGATTGCTACCAGACTGAGCATAAGGCTGGAAAAGGGTTGGTTTCATAATAAAATATTTTTAATTGGATTTGTTCATCTGCAGGGAGTGAGTTGTCTGGATTAGCATATCAATGCCTTACACAAATTATATTTTTGAGAGTATTCAGCGCTAAGCAGCAAGAAATTATTTCCCATCTACACGAACAGCCAAAGGCACATGGCGCAGAAAAAATCTGAACTTAGAAAGCAGCTCCAGAAACTTGCCCTGTGCTCCATGCTAGCTACCACATTCATGGTGGAGAAATGGGGAAAAAAAGAAAAATAAGACACTGGTATGCAGTTATTTTTAATTTGTGAAGGGGAGACTAGATCCTTGAACATTAAGTTAAACTGAAAACAAAACATTCTGTCACGTACACAGCTCAGCTTTGCACATAAGCAAAAATAACTAGGCATCCACAAGCAGTTTTGAAGGCTTTTTAACACTGCAAGTAAAATGAGAAGATACTCAGGCCACGTCCCAGTATCCACTCTTGTGGTCTCATGGCCTTCATATGTACTTTCCTTTGAGGGCCTCCAATGGCTTAGGGTGTCCCATTTCTAATTAGTGTTTAACAGGGGTGCTCACAAGCACCCCCAATGAGCTCTTTACGCATCCTTCTTGTAAGTCTGCATCAGACCAGGCTGAAGGGTATAAACCAAAGGTCCTTTCCTGTTCACATAGCCACAAAGAAGAACATATACAAGTGGAAGTACAGTTTTAAATTTCATAATATTTAATGTAAAAACAAAGCACTTCATTAATCTAGTCTAAATTCACATGTATTCAGGGTAAGAAGTGTTGACACAAAGCTATTATTCTGTTAACTGACTACCCCATTTCGGCTGACGAATATTTGTTTACCTATGGTGTATTTTGTACATGGCAAAGTATTTAATGGTGCAAAGCTCTGAATAAGCAGAGAGTGCTATTGCCAAGTTTACCTTATTTAGACCGTAAATAACGAGTGATGTCATGCAAGTGTCCCAAAACTCCCTTTATAACAGTGCAATTTGTAGAATCAGGTGGCTATTCTGCCTCACGCCTGAACATACATGAACTATATTAGCACTAGACTGAAACCTACCGACTCTGGAGCTAACCTTTCTTGAACAAGAGCAGTTTTTTTTTTTAAGACCCTGTGTTTCGTTAATCAGACGATAACCCACTTCAGTCATGTGGCTATCTTGCATAATGCTTAGAACACGATGCTTATCATGTTAGGTGTTAATTGGCTTTTTGATAAGAATCAGTTTTTGGGATGGAACAAAATTGTCAGAAAGGATTATGAGCCATTGCAAAAATAAAACATTTTTTTACAGCATTTTAGCCTTTAGGGTGCAAACCTGATAACTGCTACTTGGATAATGAAAGCTGTCAAATTTCAATCCAATCAATACGGCGGGTCACAAGAACGCAATCAAGTTTTCGAATACGGGGTCACAGTACCGCCCTGGATGATACGATGTCTCCTAGCATATTTCATCAGTCCCAGTGTTCCTGCCTAGTGCCTAGCTGCCCAGTCTCCGAATTTGAGTCATTTCAAAACAATCATTCAGAACACTACAGGCTTACATTAATTAGGAGCCTAATTAAAAATCTTGCAGCAAAAGCCTTTGTGTTATATTTTAAATCCCTGGATGAACAGAGTTTACCAAAGACAACACCAAATCCTCTTATGTTTTCATATCACTTCTTCATGTCTTATGTCCCAACATATGCTTCACTCTCCAAAGGCAGGGCAAAGCTTTATATGTGCCTCTGAAATAACTTGGAAGCAATAAATGTGGTAATTAGGTTTGAAAAACAACAAGGAAGACTAACGGCTTTTTAGCAAATGTGCAACCCGAGACAGCTGTTCGCATAGAGGACAAGTCTTCCTTTTTTAATGCAGCAGGTGATATACTGTAAAGTGTTGAGGTGCTAGAGGATTGGGGGGGAGGCAGGAGTTTTTAAAGTGTGTGAAAAGTTTGGCAAAATGCACAACATGTCCCCCCCCCAACCAACCAACTCACCTTCCTCCAATCACTGAAGAAATTGTTCCGAAAAACCTCCTTGGTCGTATATTCATGGTCAAGCATTTGTGCAAAGAAGACGGCTACTTCCTCAGCAGCTGAACTCAGGGTCACCAGCTTTCCTGAGGGTGGAAAGGTTGCTATTAATATCATATACTGTACATGCTGTATAATGAGTGAAATTACAAAGTACTCTAGGTGACTCGGCTCCAGCGTCTCACCAGTGGGGTAAAAGACAAACCTGTGCTTTGAGTTTGTTCTCCTGAAAGGTTTCAAACGTAGTCCACTTTTGAGCTATTGTTGGCATGTACAGTATGCTGAAGATTATTAAAAGGATGTGGAAGCTACATTTTTAAAATATGGGATTCAAGAAGAAATATGCTGACTAAAACAGGCAGAGACACAAGACTACTGACTAAATCTACACCGCCTTAAAATGTCCTCCCTCACAAACAAAATGAAGACAGGACCCAAAACAGATGGCAACAACAACTTCTCTACCAAAATCCATGCCTTCCAAAGAGCCAGATTCTCTTTATTTAGCAAATGCAAATAAACCTGAGCGACGCGAGATTGCTTGTGGTTGGGCTGTGTTGAGGGTGTGCAGTCCTCCACTGAGTCTGTAAGAAAGAGAGTCCTTTAGGATGAGTTTCGCAGTTTGTTCCAACCCACAGGAACAAATAGCTGATCCCCCAACTATAGAGTCTGACTAGACATGGATGCTGACCCGTCCTGGACCGGTTCAGAGTGGAGCACTCTCTTCCTGGGACGGGGTTGCTGGGTAGAGCACTGTTTGTTAAGTTCAGTGATTCCCATTCCCAGCTGGGAGTTTGCAGGCTGGTTTTCTTGAAGGCAGACATGTCTTTGGTGGATTAAATATTTCCTCATGTAGTGGCACGAGGTGAGGGGGATTTTGGACCTTTTTGAGTGTTTTGTGGGTGATTGTGAGTCTGTGATTGTGTTTGGTAGGATAGTGAGCCAGGAGATCAGGGTGGAGAGTAGGGTACCAGTGATGATGCACATGGTGGATACTCCGTGAGGATATGATCATCAAGTCCAGACAAGGGTACCGTATTCTACTGCCGAGAGAGACAGAGCAAGTGCCGAGATCCGGAGGGTGGTAGTGTAAGTGCCCCATGATGTACCAGATTCTGTGCAAAATTCCTTTAACCTTTTCACTACTAAAGATTCAGGGCGAGTTTAAATTATTTAATAACCCAGTCAAGGAGCTTCTCCAGAGCCAATTTTCTTTTTGCCCCAGTGTGTTCTAAATTTTTAAAAGCACTTCACTTCGTTTTCTGTCACAGTAAAAAGCCAGGCTGTGACATACCCTCGCTTCTGTCATCACCATGGTTACTACAGGTGCATCCTCCAGTGCAGCTGTGGAGTATATATCAACAATTCTTCTTTCTTAATGGAGTAGGTGTACTTGAAAAGCTGCCAATAGGCAAAAAGGGAGGCTGGACATCAAGCAAGCCAGGAAAGAGGTACTTCAAATTAAAATAGCACCTTCCAGGATCAAAGGTTAACAGGTGACAGTGTGCAGGGATTTGCTTAACACGGCTGTTGGATCATAAATTTCTTCACAGAGATTGCTATGGCACAAATGTGTGAATGAGAAGCTGACAGCAATCCTTTTTTTTTTTAAATGCACGCAAACACAAATGCAGACAGCAAAGAGTGAGAGACACTCATGCCTCAAAGGTCTCCAGTGTTTTACCACAGGATTTACTCTGTGAATGTAAAATTCAAATTACCATCAGGTGTAGCTTTATCCCTCCACAGTAAACAAAATCTGAATGCTTTTTAATATCCTTTATAAGATATATTTTGCACTCTCCTTTTATAAAACATTATCGACATGCAAATAGATTTTTTTTGCATGAAAGTCTAATAAGCCACAAAGAAACTTAAGTTAAAAAAGTAATAAAACTATAATTGACCTTTCTGTAATTCTCCGCAACATGCTATCCAAAGCTCTTTGGTGTACAAAACAAAATGATTCACTCGTGTTATTTACCTCAATATATTTAGCAGGGCTGGCTGATTGTTTTTACAGGAAAGCTCACACTCCATGCCACTTATATTATTTTTTACACATTATGAACAAGATTGCACTTGTCAATAAAGCAAAGTTAGATTTTCGCTTATTGTAGCCCTTTGGAAAGATGAATCTGCATTTGTTTAACATAAAGACTGTGCAGCTTCTGCTCTATGTTGTGAGAACGTCATTTGTATGTAGTGTTGTCATTTGCTCGTCTATGGACGGCATGCTGCTCCATTATACTTTTATACTTTTGGACAATCAATCTGTATAAACCTATGCACATACAGTATTCTATTGTTTTTACAGTGACTATGATTTTTTTACCCACAAGAAACATAAAAATGGCTTTCACAGACTTGAAAATGGCACACAGTTGAGAAAATACAACTGTACATAAAAAAAAGACAGGAAAGCAAGGGGAAAAAATAATGTCATTACCTGTCCCAAAAATCATTATCCAGATGGGACCGAGAGGCTTTCTGAACAGCTAGTTCTCGAATGCATTGTGGCCTTGACATCACAGCAGACAGAAATCTTCATTAGCTCAGTAGGACCCCATTCTTCACACTGTTAAGTACACTTCACTGCTCCAGAGGGCTAATGACTTACCGTCATAATAAAACTTCACGTTATCAGGAAGTCTCTGGTACTCAGCGGGAAACCAGGGCCCTCTGTGCTCCAGAAACTTCCACTTGATGCCGTCTTCATACTTTTCCTCTTCCCACCTGAAGGAAACATTAAGAAGAACAAAAATGCGGGCTGCTCATCCCATAACGCCAGGGTGTACAAAGTCTGTGGTGCTGAGAGCCAAGGCAAGACTGGGGTCCAAGGAGCCTTTTATTATACCGCTGGATCCAATGACAAAGCCATGTACAGATTATTTTTAGAAATCAATATCAGAAGAACGTAGGAAACAAGAAAATTTGAAGTTACTGGGTGCCATTCAGTCTCGCCTGTGCCTGAACCCCCTAAAGTGCATGCAGTATTCCTGAAAAGCACCACTTTTGTTCCTACAACAGTACAAGAAATGCATTTGAAATTATTTATGTACCAACAAGATTTTACTCCCATGTAGAAGGTCATTACATTACATTCTTGTCCATCTAATGTCACTAAGGACAGCTTCCCCCCATGCCAAAGCAATGCAGTTTACTCCACAGCTCTAGAAACTGGACCCTGCACTGGTTAAATGCCATCAAATCCTTGAAATTTAAATCACCAGCAGAAACACACCACACTAAGTCATTTAGGTGTTTCTAAAGCTCACTATTTTCTCTTTAAAGTGACCGTCAGAATCCAACCACTGGACAAGGACAGTTTCAACCAACACCTGCGTAACCCAGTTGGCCAAGCTCAGGCAATCTGCTGAAAATGCTTTAAGAACAGATCTAATCTGGAAATGTGGGGCCTTACAGGGCAAATACAAGACCAGTTCAGATGCCTACTCAGAATTATCCCTCTGAGATACACCTGGTAAACATGAAGGCCTGCCGGTCTGAGGCGGGAATCTTCGGGAATCACAACAGCGTCCTAAATCTGCTACAGCAAAAGCTTCAAACGTTTGAAAAAAAAAAAACTGCACTCCTGGAAATAAAATAACCTACCCAGAAGCAAATCCCTAATGTTTCACAAGGCTTACCACACTAAAGAAAGGAAAAATAAAGACCAAATGTTGTAATTTAGATACTCAAAAGATATGTCACAAAAAAGTGTGACCTCAGTTTCTCTCATTAAATAGAAAAGTGCGTTTAAGGAGGACGACAAGCTCAGCCAGTTCTCCCGGGTCACAGGTTTCATTTCAACAGCCCAGAAGCACGCAGGAGTCTCTGGATGCCTACCACCTCCACCGTTGCAGCTCCTCCTCCTCCTTCTTCTTGATCTTCAGAGCCTTCGCTGCCTCAACCTCCTCCTTGCTTTTCTTGTGCTTGCCACCTTCCCTAGCAGACACCGGCCGCCCCTCCTGCTCCTTCTTCGCCTTCGGAAAGGAAGGAAACGACACACGAGAGCACAGAGAGGGAGTGTTAGTGTCCAGTGACCTCACCCGAAACCTGACCTTCAGGTCAGCACTGGCGCAATGCTTTGTGTTACGACGCAGAGCCTGTGAGCGTCACGCGACCTTCATCACCTCGAGTTGTGGAGCTCAAGAGCACAGTAGCCCGAAATCAAACTTAAGACTTCTTTTTATTCTCTTTGTGGGCTTTAATACTGTTATCTGCCCCTGTTCACTCAAGGCGCCCATTAATAAAAGCCTGTTATGTAAAGAACAACGGTATCCAAGTCTGTGAAGGTAACAATTACAATACCTGAGGCGGCTGCTCTATCCTTCCTACCCTTAAACAAAATAAAGACAGCATTGGAGCCTTATAGTGGTCTTTTATGACTCCTGTATACTTTGGAAAAAGTCACAGGAAGAACATGCTGTAGCTAATGTTGTCCGGTGTTCGCTGGCAAGGATCAACCTGCAATCGATGATGCAAAAGTCAGGCAACCCAGGAACACAAGAACCATTTGACATTTTTGTGCAGGTTTGGAACACAGTTTGCTGACCAAAGGCTGGTATGCTAGATATTCTGTTCATGAATATCCTACAGATGAAAAACAAACTGTACACCCTCAACACTTCTCTAACAGTACTGTTCATTCACTAACTGCTTTGAAAACTGTGTAACTAGAATGCCCCGTGTCTAACGTCCGCATAGCCCAGTCACTAGCCTGCTTTCTCTGGCTTTCATGAAGCTGCCTCAAGCTCTCCTCTACCTTCACTTTGCTTTCCTTCTTTTTCTTCCTCTGTTTTTCTGGCTCTTGCTCTGCCTCCTCAACCTCCATCTTCACTTTCTTTTTCTTCTTTGCTCTTAGAAACAAATTAGATTAAACACACAAGATTAAAGATTACACACAAGATTAAAAGAAAAATAAATCGATCGGTTTAGAAAAGAAATAATGTAATGTGCACAGCAGGACCCGCTACCATGGACTGTTGGGCTTGTTCAAAACTTCAGAGACTTAAGCCTGGCCAATTCAGTGCAGTTGCCCAAAGGTGACATCACAAGGCATAATTTGTGATGTCACAATCGCATCATAAAATAATTTAAAACTTCTATTTTTGTTGTCATTGCTACAGCTGCAACTACTCCAGCACTGCTCACATAACCACTGAATAACTTTTTCATCATAGAGGACAGAGGCAAATGACTCCCAATGCAGTGTAGTGTGTTCCACTTCAGTTCACTTTGGTATGGCTTAGATGTCTAAATATACAGCACCTGACATTTGCGTCTATACAAGGGTTTACAAATTATGAAATGGACCAGACATTTGTGTTAATGGAAGTCGTCTCTATGCGAAACATACCCCAAAACTATGCGCTTCTAATGTTATATTTGAGATCTGTCCAGCCAAGGGTTCAAAGTGACATTGTGCCAATCGCTTACGATTCCAACAGAGATCCCCCTGGTTCTTCCTGTTCTCTGAGCCTCTTCTTCACTTTGTCCTTCTTGTTTATGCAGAAGTCTTCCTCCTCTGGCTCCACCTTTACTTGAATTTGAGCAGCTCTGCAACTCCAGAAAAAAAAATGGAGAAATTAGATTCACTAAACCCAGGGCAACCACTCATGGGAATTAGTGAAAGTTTTCGGTTCACAAGTTTGCTTCAAACAGGGCACTTTTATACTGTACAGAAAGGCTACTAATGTCTCATGTTTAATTCAAATGTCCTTTAATTTAACATTAAATGCAGTATATAATGCAGTGCTGTTCTGTGTATCTTATTAATACAGTTGCCTTTAGGTTAACAAATTTAGCATGCTTATAATGTATACATGCTTATTTTGGAGACTGAAGACCAAACAAGCAATTTTACAATTACCTGAATATCCAATTTCAGAAATCCAAAGTTCCAGTTTAGTGTAGCCTGTATTTATTTGTAAAAGTCAATTATTCTTCTCTGCCCCTGCGATGCCAGGAGCATGTTTATCAATTCTTCTCCATTCTGCATCATTGAAAATCTTTAAAAGTCGATTGTGACCCTTTTGAATGGCAATGTTTTCATGTCTGTAATCATGTTCTTGGAATCAGAGATAGAAATGAAGCTTCATGGGTGTTCAGAAGCACCACTGATATCCCCCCGTTGTCATCAGTAGTCACAAGAAATCCTTTAGGAGTTTTGCAGCAGGCAGTGACCAGTCTGTGACCTCTTCATCTGTTGTAAGGTTCTCAAACTGGAAAGTTTTCTTGACACACAAAAGTGCTGCGATGTCATCTACCACAAGAGGGAGCTCATTCACCTTTGGGCAAAAGCCTTTACTTCAGTGTGCAAAGTGAACATAAAGTTTGGCAAAACATCCGTTTGACAGAGATTTTCGCAGTTGTTGAAATGTGTTGCAACCAAAAGTAAAGCCCATTTAGTGAGAAACTGAAAGTTTTATGGTTTGAATAAAAGATGTATAGGTAGTAACAAAGCTGCTATTCGACAGGAGTGGGGGTGAAAGAATTCACAGTTTGTGAACTTAAAAGCAGAGAGGCATGGGGTGTTATCCACAAACAACAGAAGTACACTCCTATTGTAACAAGCTGAAGACATCACTGTAACCATTTTAAAAATTTAAGGTTCAGCTCACCTTTTTGTTGAATTTGCATTCTTCAAGTAACTTCTTAAAATTGAACTCATCATAGTAGTTACCAGTGCACACTTTTCTTCAGTCATGATAGCGAGTGTTTTTTTCAAAGCTCTTCATACACAATTAAAGGCAAGCAATGATGAGCCCGTCTTTTTTGTAAAGAGTCCAATTTCATATCAGCTCAGGAATACAGGTTAGCAGTTTTCTTCACTGCAGGGTTTTATACTGGATCTTTAGCAATGATTCCAACTGGTTTATTGACGATAAAATGGAAATTGCTCAAAATGGCATACAATTTCATCTTTCAGAAACTTTGGCCATAGTTGCACAAAAACAGAAAACGTTTGGAGTGTGAATCAATTTAAACATCTAAAAATGTTACTCTTGTAAGATCTCACTCTAGTTGCCTTACATTTGAATACCCCTTTTTACTGCCGAATTCAGGATGAAAAATTTCACATTCTGGAACCTCATACTACCCCCCTCACACACACAAAAAAACTGTTCTTCTAATTTTCATAATAACAGTGTGGTAAATACATGTGAATTCTAATTTTGCTAATTCTAATTTTGCACCTACTGCTATTTCTGCTGAGTAGCTGGATGGTTACTTGAATGCTATACCCTGTCTTCTGTCACCAGAAAAACTTGCAAAAGCAAAATGGCAAAAGTTAAAGCCTCATTTCTAAACACTGACTGAAACTAACTAGATGTTGCTTTGGGATTTTTGCAATAAACAACATATGGCTGTCTTTCACCTGAAGGTGAGTTCCATTCGCCTCCTAATTAGGCTACGCGATTTCAAACTGTTTTGCAATCACCTCCATCATGCTAACATGCAATTGTGAAGTTATTTCTGCAATCATCAGTGCTATTCAACAATGTCAACACACACATACACAAAAAACTCTAAAGACTGCAATCAGAATCTCAGTCGCCAGATGAAGCTGTTTTAGTGTAACTGGCTTTGACTGTCTGAACCCTCCCAGACATTCAGTTTGATGGACAGACCCAGACGTGTATTTTGATGGCTGTCGATGGGTGTCTAATTGATTGATTGATTGAGACCAAAGCACAGAAATGGTGCCACTTGACTGCAGAATCAATACATAACATTGGCTGTGGAGTAACAGGCAACCACACACTATAAACTGAGAAAAGAATAGGCTAACAGTAAACTGCATTTTCTCAGCCATTTTATGGTTTCATCTTCTTTATCTCCTTCTGCTTCTTCAGTGTGATCTTGCTGGATCAACCACCCATTTCTTCGAACACAGACAGAAAGCAATGGGCTGAATCAAGAGAGTACAAGGCAAGTGCACCAGCTTCTAAATGCCCCCAGTTTTAAAAAGATGGAATTCCCACTGCCTGACAATACGTGCTAACTCTTCAGCTACATTACCGAGTATTTTGAAAGGAAGAGTTTATTAAAAACGCAACACAAAATCTTTAAAAATCAAAAAATGTTCGGACTGAAAAGAAATTCACCCAGAGCCCAGCGGATATTAAAATAGTAATTAAATTGTAAGTGGAAATAAAATACACTCATTCTATAGCCTGCTGGGTTAAGCTTTACAAGTTGGCCAGTACCACCTTCGACCATGTTGTTGCTGTGGTTGTGTCAACTGGGCCCTGTGGGTGAGGCTATTAGCAGTGCAGTGGCACCGAGTCCAAATGGTTTGAAAACACAGGTAGTTATTCTGTGTCCAATTAAGAGTGCAAAATCAATATTAAATCAAGAGTATAGCACACTTTTGACATTCAGTCTCATCATGGTGATGCACAGCAGCTTAGCAACCGCTGTCTAAGTTCACTTTGCACAATGAAATTTTCACAAAAATGCTCAGGGAAGGTTTTGTAAAGTGCAAGAGGCAACACCATGCTCTTGCTATAACTACTTGCATGCACAACGGGGCATTGCTCTAGCCAATATATAAAGTATGACACCTTAAAAAAATCTAAATAGGTTTAAAAGATATTTTATGTTTTTATCTTGTGATCTCCAGGTACTGTAAGTGTTTTTCCCAAAAAAGTTGTCCGTTTTAGATATGGTTCCTTTTTGAATTTACTAACCATAAAAAAAAATCTCAGATCTCACCACCTCTCGCAAGTAGTTTTGCCAAAACACAGCACAAAGTCTTTGGTGGGAGAAAGATTTTTCAGCTGGAGTATCTTTGTCCAGCCTCTGCTGGGAGTCCTGAAACTCCGGAAATGTGCCGAACCATACAGTGACACTGCAAGCTTGCATGGTGAGAGAATAAAATTAAAACCACCCCTAAAGAGAAAATGCAAAAGCAGGGAGGTGCTTTAGATGTGCACAGAGGGGGTGACAGAATAAACTGAAATTCAGCCTTGTCAATTCAGCAGGGATGTAGATACAATCCAAACATGAGGTTATAAACCACTTATAAAAGAGCTGCATGCTAACAGCTTTTCATTTTATATAAAAGCTGGATGCTTATTATTTTCTGCTGTTGCATATCTATAAAAAATCCTTTCGGATTAGTTTTGATTTACAGCTCCCCCAAGTAGGCTCCCTGGGAGATAAACACCAAAGGCCAAGGACAAGTTTTAAATTGAATTCCCAGGTGTCTGTTCATTCACCTTTTGTAAGAAATAGAAATATCTCGATACAGAAAGAAACGAAGGAACTGATAAAAGCTTGTATTTATAGACCCTTTATGGAAAACCTAGCAGGTCTCTGAACTTTCCCTACACACAAAATGCATAGAAAGATAAAACCTGAAATGGAACTAGAAATTTGGGAAGGACCTGTGAAAGAAAGAGAATTAGAATGGTTACAAAACAGAGGAGGCCATGTGGCCTGTCAAGCTTGTTTGGTTGCTAGGAGCTAAATGAGGATCTCATCAAGCTGCGTCTTGAAAGAAGCTTCAGCAACATGGACGGGCAGCTTTTATGCAACACAATGTTTATAAAAAGTGCATCCTGCTCTCAGTTTTAGTTAGATTCCCTGATTTTTCTCCACGTCTCTTCTAGTTGTCGTTTTACCATAGATGCTCTCTTGTTAAACTTTGTATTCTTGAAGCCTGTTGGCACAAGACAGAGTTCTAGCCCAGGGAATTTGTCCAGTTATTTTTCTCTCTCTCTGCTCCAAAGTGCAGCAACATCTTTTTTGTAAGATGCTGAATAAAATTGTCCGCAATGTAAGAAGGTTTTACCAGTGTATTTTATGTTAAGCAAAAAATTATTTATTTCTACACTTTTAGAATGGGAAACATGGCAACTGAAAAATAGGGGGAGAGAAGCCATGAACTATTTAAATAAAGAACTGAAATTTTACACATGTAAAAAGCCTACCTTACAAAATCTTCCAAATCTGCATCGGGGTTCTCTCTTTTTGTGAGCTTTTCCTGACATGAGAGAAGAAAAACATCAGAGTTGATCACAGGTGGTGGTGTAACCACACAGTTTTCAATCTACAGTACGTGGTTGCTGAAATCAGTCAGAAGCCAGAGAACAGACAGGCAGAGATCAATTTTCTATTAAAAACCAAGCTAAGGAATATCACTGTTCCTGGGGTTTGCTGAATGGGTCGTGCCCTAAACCAGGTGAAGAGAGTAATGCAGATGACATTCTCATGTTCCTGTTGGAAACTGCTGTCGAGGGCATACAGTCAGAGAGCACTGATCTCACTGCCTAGTCTCATAGTATGCAGCCAACTATAAATGAGAACTTCACATAAGAAGACAAACTAAGGCAAAGATAACATACTGTACCTTCTTTTTCCTGGAGATCCCTTTTCCTTCTTTTTCAGCCCCTTCAGTATTACCCAATGTGGAATTCCTCTGGACCTTTTTACTACAGTAAACAAGGACATAAAATAATATGTTCTATAACCATTACAAGAAAAAAACAAAATATTCCACCAATTCTTTCTGGAACTGTTTTATCCTTACAGGGTCGGGGGGAGCAGGAGCCTATCCCAGCATGCAAAAGTTGCAAGGCAGGGTAAACCTTGGATGGGATGCCAGTCCATCACAGGACATTGGAATATTCCAGTGTACTTTAATTTTATGCCAGTACTGCAGACCGACTCAGTATTGTTTTCTTTCCATAGAAGCAGCCAACAAAAAAAAACAGCAGTTGCCAGACTTAATTTGGAAATCATGAGGTGTGAACAGGAGAGAGTAGATGTACAAAGGGCAGTGGAAGTACTGTACCTAAGTGCTTAACTGTGACATGTGCATAATGCAATGTGCTTTTAATGCATATTCAAGCCACCACTGTCAATATAATTCTAACAAGATAATTCAAAACGTTTTAATTAGAAAATTCAAACTCTTTTTTAAACTTTTTCACTCTGATGGACCTGTGGTCAAGTCCGCAGGGTTTCGGACACCAATGATCTCCCTCGAGCACTAATGTACAGAAGAGTTTCCCTCATTCAGTAACACTAATGGGCCGAGGGTGGCTCTGCGGCTCAGGATCTGCGCCTGTGGCTGGAAGGTTGCCGGTTCGTATCCCGCGGCCAACAGAGGAATCCTACTCTGTGGGGCCGCTGAGCAAGGCCCTTAACCCCATCTGCTCCAGGGGCGCCGTATAAATGGCTGACCCTGTGCTCTGACCCCCAGCTTCTCTCCCTGTCTGCGTGTCTCATGGAGAGCAAGCTGGGGTACGCGAAAAGAAATTCCTAATACAAGAAATTGTATATGGCCAATAAAGTGATTTTATCTTAATCCCTTAATGGGGACAAAAAAGTCTCCACCACAGAACTGAAAGGTAAGAGGAGAGATTATGCAGCGTCAGGATAAGTAAGATTGTGCTTTATTAAAGGATGTGAAGAACTGCACTCAAGGAGTCCGTCATCCTGAGCTCGAAAGGCTATACTCCAACCCATTTTATAGGTTATCTTTAAATGCTCAATAAGTAGAGAACCGCGAAACCTATTCACAGGCTCTACACCAGCAAACGATGGCTACATCGTTCAGAGTTCATCGGGAATTAAAACCTCAACACACTGGTTCTGGAGCGGCAAATCCTGCTGACTCTTCTCCCACCATTGTGTTATTTCACTTGTGTACAGGGTTTAGTTCAATGACATGATTTAGTGTACGGGGGCTGTGGTGCGCGCTACTGTACATACGAACTACAGAACTGACGCAACGTAGGAAATTAGATGTCACAAAGACATGCCAAAAGCACAAGCAGGAAGCAAATACAATAACTGCCTTCAGCTCCACAGCGCGTTCATGCACCACTGTGTAAATACCAGTCTGCTGCATGACAAGCTGCGTCATGCCCTACATGCATGAGCCGAGGGATGCTGCAGTGTTAGTGTCTGCTCCGTTTGTGCTTCGTGTTACACTGCACATTTCTTTTGCCTTGACAGGGCTTCACATTTAATATTTCACTGCAACGTCAAGGCTGCTTTTAGGTCTACAATCTCATCTTTTGCCTAACCTATAATATCACCATTCTTCCCGATATACTCCTTTACTGTAATCGCCTACAAAGCCATCAGTTATTGTCAGAAAGCTGTTATTTGTATCCCTTTTTATGTGGTTAATTAGAAATAAGAAAGATGGATGGTTTGTATTACTTTTTTAATGCAGCGGATCAATGTAAATTAGTTTATGCTTATGAAGATGAAGTGGCCTACTTTGTATAATGAGCATATGCTGTCTTACTCTGTATTCTTATTAGATTTAACTTTTCTGATGTTTTTGTTTTCTTTTCCTCCATGAGAGGCATTATAACAGTTACCAATATAGCTGCTGACTTTACAGAAAACATCTAAATTAAACAGGCCACTGGAGACACCTTTCTGTTGGAAATTAAAGAAAGGGCAGTCACATCTCTGAATGTTGCAGGTATTTTTACTTAGTCCGCCTGAGAATGACAAGCAGCTATTTATGTTTTTCCAAGAGAGAACCAGATCGGTTCACAGCAAGCACAATGACCATTAACCTGGAAAGCTGTGTCTCCCTGAGGAGACCATAAGATCCCATAGAAAGTCTTTTCAGAGACGAAGCACTCTACTCAGGTGAGAAAGAACACAGGCCAATCAACTCTGTGGATCAACGCAGGTTCTGAGAGCTTGGGTCTGTTACTCTCAGCACTACAGAATGCCTGGCTCATCATCTGACAACAGAGGAATCGAACAGACTCAACAGGGCTAAATAACAAAACTTACAATTATAGAACTGACTTGTTTTGGAATCACACCTCAGACACTGGTGTAAAAAAAATGTTTTAAGGCAACCGAAGGTTGGACTGGGCAGAACGTTCATAAAGATGATAATGGCCATGGGTGAACAAGGCATAAACTATTCCAATGCTCCATGCAAGTTTATAACAACAGCCCACTGTTTCAGCAGTGAAGACAAAATTGATTTCAGAGAAAAGTAACAGAGCCACGAGAGGTAAAAATCCTTAGCATCTATTAAAAGCTAGATACTGGTCATCTTTACAAGTGTCTAAATCATGTTTTAGCACAAGTGCTACAATATTGGTTCCTAACACTGGGGGACCTGTGTTTCTTGCGGGTTTTATTTAAGATGAGCTTTAAATTGGGGCGACATGGTGGTGTAGTGGTTTTACTGCCTGGAAGATGCCGGGGCCCTGGATTCAGTTGTGGACCTGGGGTGCTGTCTGCGTGGAGTTTGTGTTCACCCTGTGTTCTTGTGAGTTACCTCCAGCGCCCAGTTCCCTCCCACAGTCCAAAGACATCCTGGCAGGTTAATTGGCTTCCAGGAGATCTGGCCCTGGTGTGTCTGCATGTGTGTGCCCTGAGGTGGACCTCCATCCTGTCCTGGGTGGACCCTGCCTTGTCAGGATAGGCTCTGGCCCCCCAGTGACCCTGAAGAGGATGAACTGGTTAAAAAAAATGGATGGAGCCCTTAATCAGAGGCAGACTCCAATTTCCTAAATAAGGAAATTTTATTTCCCAGGAAGGCAATGATCACAAATAATATTCCTAGAAATGAGTGACTGTGTGTATTTTAGGGATGAAGACACACACATTTCATCCTAGCTGATGCATTATGCATCCAGGACGTACTCCATTTTGCAGTAACCCTAACCAGGAATAAGCGACTTTCTGTCGACAGTCAAACGGACGTTTCATGTACCAAGTGTTTGATAAACAGAATAACACCTAGCGTAAATTTGAATAGATTTTGGGGTGTGCAAAAGTAAGTAACTGGTTGTCCCAGTACATCCACATCAGTGTGCAGTCAGCTCCCTTGGAATCATGAACTGCACTTGAACAATGATGCCCAAAACCCAGACTGGCTTTCTTTCATTTGAGTAAGGAACCCGTGGCAGGGCGAAGGCTTTAAAAACGAATACATCCACCTCTTTGAAACATCACCGCCAGCTCTGAATTCCTCTTTGCCGAACCCCTTATCCTTGGATTCCTTAGCTTTGACTTCTTTGTCTTTGCTGCTAGTCTGCGTATCTCCCATCTTGAATGCTGCGATCCGATCAAGCTGACAGTCAGAGGGAGACAGAAACACAGTTACACAAGGCTACCTTTCCCAAAGGAATAAACAAGAAAATAAATCTTGAAAGACACACTAGACAAAAAGACAAATTCCACCCTCTGCCTGAAAGGAGGTCATCTTGGCAGTATACAATACCTTGCTCTAAATTTTCAGAATGCTCAGGAGAGCTCAGTTTCACAGTTCCCGGTTTCAATTCCTTACGGCTCTGTTTCTGTACCCCCTAGAGCAGCGATTCCCAAATGTTTTCAGCTGGCAGCCCACTTTCAGCATCCTAAAATTTTTAGGTTCACCAAACAATTTTTAAAATATTGTGGGAAAAGCTGGCCCTGGTGTAAATGTGAGTGTGCCTGTGTCTGTGTGTCCTGTGATGGGCTGGAGTCCCACCCAGGGTCTATACCTGCCTTGTGCACGTTGCTTGCCAGGATAGGCTCCAGCACCCCTGTGATTACTTAAATATTTGGTTGCAAGCTACACAAAGCTTCTGATCCAGACATTTTATACATGATTTCTTCTAATATTGCAGCACATCTGAGACCTCTCCACAGTCCATAGTTTGGCAAGCACTGCCAAAGATATTTATACAAAAAGGGCCCTTCTACTGGAATTGATAAGACTGAAGAACTGGAGATCACAAATTTAAATTATCTGCGTTTCCCTTGAGGGCCAATGTTTTGAGAGTGTGTTAGAATTTTGAAACCTCACAGCTAAAAAAAATGGTCTTTGAATTCATGTCATTTTGCTTCCCTGTCATACTACATCTCTTATTTATATACCAAAATTGGAATTTTTTGTTTCCAATTGTGTACAGGCAACCCTAAAAACAGATGTTCTATCCTTGATCCTGTGGTTACAATTTCGAACAAAGTCCTAGGGGGAAAAAAAAAGGTGCCACCAATTGAAATCCCCTCTTTCCACATTATGATTGAATGATGATTGTTTTAGCCCTTGAGGGTCATTAGATAACAAGTGGCTGTGTCTCTGCCCAGCAGACAAATGCCAAGTGGCCCCAGAAGCAACCTTGATTGATGACTTACCTTTTGAAAAGCCGGCTTGTCTGAGTGTCTTTGTTGTTCAAGATAAAGTGACCCTGAAGAACAAATGCATAAACGTAGATTATCTCCCGAGAACAATATCTCTTATCATTGCAACACACACATACAACAAGAAAAACCTTTTTTGCAAAGTGCAGGAATCATTTTGCTTCCCTGTCACACAGTACTACACCTCTTATTTATATACCAAAATTGGCATTTTTTGTTTCCAGTTATGTATACAAAGGCCTTTACGGAGCTATTTTGTCAAAGATGCCTTTGAAGGTATTTTTTTTTGTTACAAACTTATTTGAAATGGTTTTTCAACTGGTTCTCAGAAGAGCTTAATCGCACCACTAAATGATGATTGCTGCCTACTTGACCTCCGAACACTCCTGAATTGCTTCTGGTCATGAGAATTACAAAAGACACTTCAGGCACAATAGCTTAGTGCTGCTGGAGCAAAACACAAACAATAAAAATATTAAAACAAATTAAATGAAAGATGGATTCAAAACCAATTTCCAGCTAAGGTTAAGTTGGTTGTTTCTGTTTACTGTAGAGATTGATATAAAGGTCCTGCACTCAACACAATAGCTACTGTATACCTGAAAATCTACAATATCTATTAAAATAAAAATGATCAATGCTTTTATCTTAAAATGTGCACTGCCAGGTGTTGATTCAAATGTTCTCAGTACTGGGAGCTATAATACAATGAAAATGTATTCAGCCTCTGGAAACTTTGAACTTTTCAGCTGACCAAAACAATATGCTTATTTTATGCAAAAAAATACTCCTTTTAGAAAAATTCACAGTAGTGTGTTTTACTTGTGTGGAAATATTTTTTTGTTTGTATTTCCTACAGTACTCCATTCTAAACTGGAGCATTTTCTAGTATGTATCTCTTTGATACATGCTTATGCTGAAAAAAGCATTTTTTTAGATATTCCAGTGAATTGTTAAATGTGACCCTCAATTTAGATACAAAGGGACACTTGCACTTTTGTGACATTTACTTTTCCAATCCAAAATATGAGCAATTATGTCTGAATGAACCTCAGAGCAAGCAGTCCCTATTAAAATGCTAATCAAATGCAGTCTATTTATATATGAAGTCTCTTGTCCTTGAGACAAGCAAGCTATCTTCTCAGCTGTCATAACTGAACGTGACTGAAAATTATCATATTTAAAACAAAAAAATCAACTCTGAACAGAACAGCTATTCAGCATCAAAGGCAGGGATAATGGATGGATGACCTAAAAATAAGGTAATTATAAACCATTTTCTCATCAGAAAGACAACTAGATTTGGCGATTATTGGAATAGTTTCTACAGAAATGTATTTTAATCTTTAAGATACTTGTTTGTCCTCATTGATTTGCTTACCTCCCTTCACAGAGTCATTAGATGACGATACAGGACGGAGAAGGTGTAGAATGGACACCTTCTCGAACAACACAAGGATGAGAATGTGTGACATTCCCCAAGATTACTGCATCAGATGGGCATGAGCGTTCTTCGAAACGAGTCCTTGGTGGCCCCTCATCCATTAAGCTCTCAAAGGCTTTTGTACATCATCATCTAAACTGACTCAGAAAAAGAGCTACACTGGCTCCTGTAAGAGCAGGAATAATTAAGCACTCGGGTGAATAAAAGCCACAAGTACACATCCTCGTGTCTCCACAGAACAGGAGGAACACTTGATCTATTTCAGGACCCTGCCTCCCTGACACTGTAGAGCCACATCACTGAACCCAATATTGGCATGATTAAGATAAGTCAAGATCAACATGAGCTTTACCCACTGTTGAAGAGAAAAGACTCGGGGATGCTGGGACCACACTGACCTGCATTCTAGCTACCAGCTATCAACCTTTCTTTCATATCTGACAAAATATCAACACTAAAGCTGTCCTTCTATAAACTGCTTGTAAAACTAAAAGGTATTTTTTGCATTAAGCCTGTGTAAACAATTGTAGCATGAAATCGGTACCCTCTGTAGCAAGGAAATGTGGTATAGGTTCAAGTAGACCAAGGGGAACAAGTGCCCATAGCACATACCTGACAGCACAAGAGAACCCGCAGTGCATTTTCATGTTTAAGGAGGTTAAAATCTGGACTGTGTGTGCTGTCAGTTTCCTTTAGTCTCATTAGTTTGTGTACCATGGTACAAGGCTTTCATGGTGCAGTTTGTTTTTGAATAGGCCTACTTACTTTACAAGCACCTAGTATTTTGGAGGTAATACTGAGCTATTTGAGCTATGAAATAACAGTGCTTTGAACCACTTTAGGACTCCTGCAGCCAAGATTAAGTACAGCCTTGCAATTGCTGCATGGAAACTCCTCACATATAAAGGCTTACATCTTGTGTTGCTACTCCATGGCTTATCAAGTCTTTATTTATTCAATGGCCACAAAGCCCTTTTCAAGCCTGCTGGGCTTCTGCTTCACTCTCTCAATTTAATCCGTTTTGTTTTTCCTACCTGTTATGTTGCACAGCAATACACCAGTTCCTTTTTTTTTTTTGCTTGCTTCAAAACTTCTAACACTATCTGCTTTGGTTTCAAAAAGGAAAAACAAAAGTTTTTTCCAGAAAAAAAACTAATTGGCCCCAAATTAAACATTTCAATGAATACATGTGCTCCTAGACAACATTACACATTGGGGTTGAAGTTTTTCATCCTCTTAAGGACGTTTAGAAAATATAGCACTTTTAGACATGCCACAGAAAACATTAACACCCACTCTCCTGCACAAATGCTCTTCCCTCTCCAAGTATGTTTTGGCAATAAAGTAATTGTTAAATATACGGTACGTCCTGAGCATTATCATACACAAAACCATCCCTTAGAATGGAAAAATGTATGTTGTTTTATATTCTATTATTCAGGTAATTACTTACCAACTGCCATTATACATAACTACAAATAAATATAACTTTGTATTATCTTCTGGTGTTCAGATAATTCATTACCTAGCAACTATAGATGTACAAAAACTTTTTTTTGCAGCTGGAACACTTGTTTTTCACAGCAGCTTTTGAGAATCTCCTTAACATTTTAAATTAACATAATGGTAAAATAAGGGTAATTAGCAGCAGCTTCCAAACTAAGCATGTACGCACCGATGAGACCACTGCACTGTGAATTTTATGCAATGCCAAAATCCCCATCTGAGTGACAAAGACTTAATTGGTTTAATTACAATGGTGGTTAATATGCACTCAGCCGAACAAAGTACAACAAAATGGTTTCACTGACACCTTCCAACTTTTGTTTGAAATACTGTAATTCCGATGTTATTGACACATTTACATAAAATTAGATGCTATGGTTTCAAGCAAGCTTTTCACAAGCAAGTGGCAGAGTGAGACATCAGTCGAAGTAAAAAAAAGGGCCCACAGGGCAGAGCTGCGCATTTATTCTTCAGAAACAGTTAACTAATAGCCAAGTCAACATTTTTGTAGCCAATCCAGAATATGTTATTAACATAATTTCATGAAGGCACTGTTGGGAACTACCAGCCGCACCAAACTTTGCATTGTGCTGCTGTCATTTTGCCTAACGATAAACTGTAGAAGGGAAGATCTTTTATCCATTGCTGCTGGTGCTTCTGCCATTACATAATTAGACATAAATAATAGGCCCTCCGAAATTGTGAAATATATTTACACATTCACATCCTGAATGATAACTTTATGTCTAACAAACAAACATAGCCCCAAGGCACAGAGGCAAATTAAGAGAAATTAATTTAGTACTGAATACAGCAAACACGCGAGAGTGATGGCGAAGGATCTACTGCGCAGCCATGATGCTCAAGCTAAATTAACTGGAATCGTTCAAGACATTGCCGGATAAAATACTGCAATCCATTAGCTTCCGGCATCCGAGCAAGAAACGCTTCTTCAAGACATTTGTTTTTCATTGGTGCTGGTTTAGAAATTGCGGGGGGTGGGTGCCTACAGAAGCCATTATTTCATGCAGCACATAACAGATTTTAATGGGTTTTATAAATTATACCTAGCAGAAATTCAGCAACATCTATAAGCGATTTAGAGCCCAGTCAGAGCATGTAAATGCAAGACTTCGATTTTTTAACTGTTGCAGAAGTTAATACTAATAAGTACAACTAGGTCACCATATATCCCAAGCCTATACTGGTAGATGAAAAATGAATGCCAATCTAAATCGGGACCATCCTAATCACTGTGAATGGGGTCTGAGATAGATTTAGGAATGTGATCTCAATGTTGGGAAATGTTTCTGCTTTGGCAAACACTGGAACCCATCGCTTACGCCAACAAAGGTCTTTGAAATTCAAAATTCTTCCCCTATTATAGACACAGAGGTTCAAAAAAAGTAATTTTTATTTGCTACGGAGCGGCAGAGAAATAATTTATCTTTCCTCCACGGTTTGAACGGCGAGAAGGAAGAACGCACATCATTTAAATGGCAAGAGGGCGTACAGTAGCTGTTCTTTAATCCCAGATAATTTCACAGAGCATTCCGACTCCCTGCTTCTGTCCTGAACCTAATTCGGCAACACTCACCTGAAGCTCAGTGAAGGAAAAACTGGGCTTGACACCTCATTAACACTCGTAGAGGGATGCAAAAATGGCTTGAAAGCAATAACTGTTCGTGACAAATCAAAATAAAACGTGACCATGGGAAAGCGTTTTACAGGTTGTGCAGACAACAACGTTGTGTTATTTCCATTATACCGTACCGGTTTACTGCCATCTGTTTTTAGCTCTTAAATTTTCAGCGCTGGTGACTGCATAACAGCATATGCAAAACGCATAAAGGGGTTTTACGAAACTAAATGCAAAACATGTAATTCTATACCTCATAGCTCAACAGCTGAACAAACCACAGGCGACTCTCCCACCTCAGAACCACCTGTTTCCCAGAATCCCAGAGGTCCTCGGACTGCTGCGATGACGTAGGTCTCTGCTGGACAACTTTGGCTGCTTTTTACACTCAGAGATGCAAGGCCGAAATCACAGTTAACGTGTGCAGAACTGTTAACTTTTTTATGAAAAAGATATTGCCCACCGCTGCATTTCAGTGGTTCCCCTCTTCAACGTGTAAGCTTTGCAGGATTCTTGGGAAGTGCCGTATAAATGCAATTCTTAACAATAAGTTAAACAGGTGAAACCTTCATATGACATTTCAAGTTCGGCATGAAATGTATTCTCAGGATGTTAAATTTCAAAACGTGCTGTGGCTTCACTAATTAACATTGCTATTTTCAAAGCTAACTGCTGAATTTCAAGAAATGACACGAAGGTGGATATTAAACCGTTATTATACTTCAACTCTGGCAAAAGCTATGGAGAATTTGTAACTCGGACAGAAAGTTCAGTAGATAAAATTTACACTTATCACTGGGTATTCTATTTTATTATACAATTTAAAGACGATTGATTACATGTTTTTTTTTACATATCTTTTTGTCGTTTTGGTGAATTACAATAATTGATGCACTGAGAAGGCGTAAATGAACTTCCGTAATTTCTATCTAATCAAAAGCAAAAGGAAGCATTAGGTTAAGCCTTCAGAACGAGAAAAGATTCTATTGTCACAGTACTGCAATAGCAGATTAATAAAGCAAACAGTAACCAAAGAACACAAACCCACACAAGGAGAGTTACTGATTAACTGAGGGAGGAGGAAATAATTTAAACGTCACTCGACAAGCTGATGTACCGATTTTCAGACTTTTAAAATAACTTTATGAGATCTCTCTGTTGGTAAAGCATTTCATACGACCCACATATTTCGAAATGCAATATGATAAAAACAAGCAAGTTCGTTGCAATGAAATTCATTTAATGGCTAAACAAAAAATATCTGATGCACTTAGAACTGTACAGTATCTGACACTACTCGGTAAAAATTCAGTCTCGCTGCAACCCACAGCAGCGGTCACAAACATGGGGCTGTCTCTTTAAGATACCGGAAGAGTCGCAGACTGCCGCCGGGTTACGCTGTTTATTTCTGTAAAAACTGCGAAACATCCAAAGGGCGATGATACGATTGAACTTCGTGAGGACGCTGCGCTACAGCCCAAGTAGCTGGCACCGCCGGAGAGCGATCGGCGCCGGAGCCCCGAGCTGCGTCGGCCGCCGGTGCGCCCACAGCATGGACGACATGTTAAAGAGGACAGTGGCCCCCATGCCCACGTACGAGACCAGAGATAAATCCCCCCCGCCGGCGGAGGCGAGCAGTTTGGAGTTCATGCGTTTCTACGGGGGTCTGGAAAGGCCGCAGAAGCTGGAGTTGCTTGACAAGCTGTCTGCGCAGTGTGGGGTGGACCACCGAGGCGTGTCGGAGCTGGCCGCCAAGCTGCTGGAGGCGCAGCAGCGGGACCTGGGGACCGTGCTGCAGGTGGAGGACAGGCTGAGGTACAGCCTGACGCCCAGATACAAGCTCCTGCTCAGTCACATTAGCCGAGTGGAAGGAGGGGTGAAATTCTTAGTCGACCTGCGCGCCGACGTGCTTGAAATCATTTCTTCCCAAGCCTGCGACAGCCCACACATCAGGGTAATTACTGCCTCACGTCGTGTGGGTAGATGATACGGTGGCCAGAAAGCACTGCCGAGCGGTTGGCTGAAGAGTCATGCTCCCCCCCCCTCTCTCTTTTATAAACGAATATACTGGAGATGTATATACAGTGTATCTGAAGACACTTCGATCTCAAAAGTCTTTATTTTGTTGTGATGAATCAAATACCCCCCTAACGCATAGCATGTACTCCTGACGAGCGCCTTACTCTTTTCACAGGGTACCGTTGCGTCGTTTTATGTGCATAAATAAAACTTGACTCCATACAAATGGGCTCACAACACCGATTGATATATACAGTATAGATACATCTGAGTTATCGGTAGACTGCAGTTTTTTCAAAAGCCCGTATGCACTAGTTAAACCGGCTACGCACTTATTCTTCCACAAATCCATACATTTTGTGAACTTGTACTTTACTTTGTAAAATTACCAAAAATAGTTAACAGTCTTCGAGATCATTTAAATCCTGCTAACATGTCATTACTTAACAGTACATAAAGACTCAAATTGCTGTATTTTCCGACATATAAATGCTATAGGGTGATATTTCTTAAACAGGACTTGGAATTGCTACTGTTCGGCATTTTTGTGTCTTGGGAAAAAACGTGTGGCTTCAGATGAAAATGAAAGTGCAACATATTTACAGTACATCTGCAAATTGTGTGCCCGAGCTGGGAAAAATCGTATAATTGAGTAGACACTCGTGTCTCACTAAACACGTTATGTTACCTCCAAGTTCATAAAAGCTTCCCAAAAAGAATCTAAAATGGCTAGAAATCCCTCGTGATATGAAATTAAGAACAGCTGTGTGAATCTAAAACTAAATGTCTCTGTAAGCTATTAAGTGTGAAATAATGAAATGATTTGATCTACTCACCCACTTAAGTGCAAGAAAATATTAGCAACTATTATTACTTGTCTCTAGTTACCTGAGCGGTGTAACCCCTTTAGAGCAACACTTCAAAAAAAGGAGGCACTAACTCGCCTCAGGAGGTCAAGAGTCTTTTTACAGCAAGATTTTGAGTACTAGGAATACTTTGTGAAAAGGCTTTTGAAATGCATAATTTGAATGCATGACTTAATCATGTAAATTAAGAAGAAATGAATAATGATTCTGCATTATAACTCAGGATAAACGATCAAAAAAGGTCAAAGTACAGATATCACACAATTGATATATTGTAACACTGTAAAAGGGTCATTTGCAATGAGTTTGCTTCCCTGTACTTTTTTAATATTCTCTGAATGAAATAAAAAAAAGTTTGCAATTACCTGGTAAGGGAGAAATAGCTCGGGAGTATTTAAAATGACATTCATGTTCTCTGGAAACTTTCTTATTTCTCAAAAACTCGTTTTTATGCTTGTCCTTGTCAGTTGCCACTGTATCAGTCAGTTCCATTAAAATATGCAGCAAGGAATTCAAATTTGCAGTTTCCCAATGTGTCCCGCTTGCAAGCATTAGTGTGCTTCAGTGGGAGTCGAAATGATTTGGAAAGTGCCTCAAACTATCGCCCTTGGAATAAAATGTTGTTGCTCCAAAGCTAAGGGGCGCATGTCAACAGATTAAAAAAGAGAAGTCTCCTGCCTCTTTTGTGACTGTTAATGCATTTAAACCTGTCCTCTTTTCATGCTAAGCTATCATTTTTCACAGTTATAATTTGTAACAAAGTTTCCCACTGGAATACTCAAGGACTTGTTTTGTTTTCACTGCTGTTGGGGAAAAAAACAGAATCTGCTTTATAAAGTCATTTTCCTCTGTTCATTATAAATGGTTAAAAGTGAAATGGTATTGCTAAGGCTGAGAAATCTAATTGCTAATCAATTAAGGATCGCTTGCTCAGCTTTCCCATGAATTTCCCTTTCCTCTAGCTACTTTCTGCACTCTTTTTAGATTTAAAGACGTGATGTCATTCTTTTTTTGCCCTGTATCCTGCCATGTAAGCCCTTAGTTAAAATATCTTCTGTGGTGTTTTATGTAATGCATCATGGTCACATTAATCTCCCGGTGGAGTGCTCTGAAATGGTGCACAAGGCGGTTTGTAATTTTAAAAGACTTTCCAGTTGGCATTCCTGCCACTTTAGGGCCACTTTCATCCTGGGAAATGGGAGGTGTGTAGGTTTTTCCTCGAGGCCGAGGCCTGGCTCCTTGATACTTCAATGGGCATCTTCTTGGGCCATGCCTTCTAGGTGCCGACTGGGCACAGCAAGCCGATCAGCTCAGTGTCCTGAAAATCCGCATCGGAACGCTCTGTCGCTGCCGGTGGCGGAGGCAGTGGCGAATCGGGAATCCCGTAGGATACACAGGGAGTTTTTGGACACTTCCTAAGTCATACTGTATGAGCCTGACCAGCGAGGAGTATGATATCTTATGAGGCACCACTCTTACAAAGGACCTAGATTGCTGGTGCAGTATAGATGCATAAATTGTGTATATTATTCTAGAGTTATATTGTAGCCTAACATCACAAAGATACATGTCAGTGACGCGGCTGGGTTGTAGGACTCATCCTTACTATGAAGCCCTGATCCTAGATGAAGTGACTTCAAATTACATTGGCCTAACTACAGTACATTAAACCTCTGAGTGCTGTCATATGCGGTCGTCTATGCCGCATGCAAAATTTAATCCATAACTAGTTCCCTATTGTACAGTACACATCACATCTGACTACACCACTGCTAGCGCTGCTGATATCCAGATGAATTATGTATGTACCTTTGTAAAATATACAGGTTTTTATGAGCCCAAAGGTATGTCATATATTTTAGAGTAGCATGGCATTCATTTCCAATATGTTCTGCAGAATGAGTACTCTAATATTAATATATACCAAACTAATTAAATGCCAGCGGTGTTTTCGTAAAAACTGTTTGTATCCAGCTCAATATACTCAGTGCAAGAGCATTTTAAATAAGCCATTTAATAAAAGGGCAATAAATGAGCAATGCTAATAAAATAGTTAAGCCTTTAATTTAAAATAAAAAAATCAATTAAGCAGTCATTCTGTCAATATGTGTAATCATGTAAAGTAAAAACAGTTTCAAAAGCTACTGTATGTGGGTGTAGAGGTTTTGAATAAGGACTGAGAGGAAATATACTTAAAGAAATAATATAAATATCAAAGACAAACTGCAGCGTAAAGGAATCAAAATATTTAAAAAGGCAACATGTAGCTCTTTTAAAAATGACTGCTTTGTGAGTGAAAATTACCTTCTGCTGATAAATTTCATCTATGATTTTCTTTCCTTACAGCATCAAAATAGTTGGCATGCATAATAATATTCCTATAAATTCTTAATATCGTAAACGCTGTGTTCAAGAAATAAAAATGGAATACAGTTCTCATTATCATCCAGTTCCTATTTCCCTTGCGTTGCTGAACAATACCCCCCAGCGCTCTGAGGGATGTTCTTGGTTCGTACTCGTCACTATCCTGTGTAACGCAGCAATGCTGTTCACTGGTTTTGTGAGCTCTAGGCACATATCTGGCATCTTATGTAATTTTCATAAGATACTGTTGTTGCTGAACCACATAAATAACCTGTTTATTCCTGACACAAAAACTGATAACCACTATTATAATAATGACTTTTGTTTTTAATTTAACACAATCTGTATGATGGTATGAACCATAGAAAATTGATTTAAACATAACTATCGCAATAATAGTTGTGTAAAATATGAAGGTGTAGGCTTACGATATAGTGGCAAAATCAATAATTATTGCAGCTGTTCAGATATAATATTTGAATGTACTTTTTTGCTCCCATCTGACTGTGTTTAATGCACTGCGGCTTGTGGATTCCCTTCAGTAGTGTTATGGAGCCTAGTTAGTGTCTTGGATTAGAGTGATGTTTTGCTAAAGGCGTATACAGCGTGTGATCTTTGGGCTGAAGATAGATAGGTCGAATTTAAGTAGCCTGTCCTTTCCCCTGAATCTTCTCCCTGCTGGAGTTCACATAAGGGAAATCCTCTGAAGGATAAGGCAGTAAAAGCTAGTGTAGTATGCTAATTAGGTTATGAAGCAAAAAACATATACAGTAGCTGAAGTGAGCAGTCAGTTGCTTCATTATATTTAGCTTGAAGTGCCTTGTGGTACACTCTCACTTCGAGAGAATTTTGTGCATGCTTTTTAAACTCTGCCTCTGCTATTACTGTATGTTAAATCCAAGCCATTGATTATCCTAGTCCCATTACGTTAAAAGAGATTTACGTCTGAGGAGCCTAGCAGAAAAAGGACATGACCCGCTCTAAAAAATGGCTACACTTTGGTTCTTTGATTCAAATTCTTTGATTCTTCACTTTGGTTTTGGTTTTCCTTAGCCTAATCTGATGTCAGTAGTCAGAAAAAATGCACAACCACTTTTCAAGATTTTATCTCAGTAGCAAATTGGCCATTTTCCAGTTGACCCATCTTAATTGTCTGAAGAGTCAGGGGACAGCTGTATTTTTGCTTTCCCAGTATCATTTTATACCCAAATCACTACTTTTCCATTGGGAACCAACTGTTTATTTTTAGTGCGCTGGCACTGCAGTTAATAAGGTACTTTGCCAGTCAGCGTCTTGTATCTGTTTTCATTAAAGCATTAAAAATGAACAAGCACCAGCAGGATGGCATTTCTGAAAAATAACACAACTGTCTTTGAATAAATAAAAGCTGAGGTGTTTCTTTTTTTTGTCTCATGGAATACAGTAGAAATTTCCTAAATCTGAGCAGGACATGGAGTGGAATTTGACTAAAAATTGCTCTTTCACTCCATATTTCAAACATGATACCTGATTAACGCTTTTCTTTTCCAGTATTAGAGTCTCTGTCAAACAGAGTTTTAATGAATTTTGAGTATTGAACTGCCAAGTAGAAAAGTTGATCAAACCTAGGTCAAAAATGCAGTACATTATGCCCTACATTTCTCAGTGCTTTTTTGCATTCTCTTCAGTTTTAAACCTCCTTGAGAAAGAAGAACAAAGAGGTTTTCAATTTATACTTTTGTTCTATTTCTTTCTCAGCAGCCTAGAGAGTCGTTTGTCACAGAGATTCTTGGCTCCAGTCTGTCACATTAGTAGACAAGAAAAAGATTGTGAGGTGCTCACTTCGTTTAGTTTGCCAACAGGAGTGAGGAGAGAGGGGTTAAACATTCCTCTTCAAGGGCTTTTTATTCTATTACCTGTTTCTCTATTTCCACTGTGTCACACAGGCTGATGAGGAAGGCACTTGCATTTCAAAGGTTTCACTTTGCTTCAAGGTCAATACAATTCTGACTTGGAATGTAACTTTCCTTTATATACAGGTATGTAACAGAACCTGTTTCCAGAGGCGTGCAGTGGTTTCTGCTTTTATCTATGGCAATGAAGTATTATCTTTCAAAATTGTTTATAGAATATTTTATTAAGCTCAATTTATCTGACAGTAAAGTGAAGTGGTTTTGCCCATCTGCTACAGTGAGGCCAAGATATTAGAAGGGGAGGGACAAATTGTTCAGAGTGATTCAACATACAGTAACACACTAAATTCAGCATTCCTGCTTACATCTCCCTAGCGTAATCATAAATGTAACACAAGGATGAAGCAGATCCCCAAAAATGCTGTTTAAAATATTCTAACTACTGTATGCAAATCATTGAATTATTAAAAGCCAAAAGAGCTTGGGGAGATGCTAAACATTTTTTTTAAAGTAGACTCCTGGCTTGGAGAAAACCAAACAATATGCTGATATCAGCTCACAGAGGAGCTCAATATGATAAACTGCAACAGTTCAGGACAGAGAAAATTGAATAATTTAAAATATAAGAGGAAATGAGAAGCAAATTGTTTGGTGAGTTGGAATGGGTAACCGGAGATGTTAGAGGAAAAGATTTAGAATAGATATGGAGACTTTGGTAATAAGCTAATTGGGTTGGACTGGGGCATTTGTTATTTGAAGCAGACAGACATTACAACTGAGAAAAAACTACACTGGCAGTGGGAGGTGGAAACTAAGTATTAAGTAACAAAATAATGCATATTTAAGTTACAAATAGTGATAATAAGAAAACTCTTTTAAATGCAATGCCCGATTACTGTCAGTTTCTCCCAAGACAGAGCAGTTCTTAGAAGATGCTGTTCTTTAAATGAGGTGTGGCTTTTATTGGGATTAACTTGGTGGACAGCAGTTGTATTGAAGCGCTTTATAGCTGCATATCATCTCTGTAAGTTCTGTCTTGATAGAAGAAGAAACAAAATTACTGCTATAGAATATAATAGGTATTTTGCCTGTTTATCACTTGTGTCGTGTATTGCATCTGTGTTTGGCTACAAAGGAGCAAGTAGCTGTGAATTCCACACTGCAAAGAAGAAAGAAAAAATATTTTCAGCTGTAACAGTGATTCCGCTGGAATTAACCGCTGCTTTTGCCTATTTATTGTTTATTTATATTACTATATCTGTTCTATGAGGTGATTTTTTTTACTGTCACAGATTAACAGTTATTTCCATACACACAATACCAAAACAAAGCAGAATTGTGGAGAGGGGATTCTCATGAAAATTGCAGTACAAGCATTTTAAAAACCTCTTCTAAAGCTATCAGTGGGGGAGTGTCAGTGGCATGTTATTATAAATGCATGCTGTGTGTGTCACTGCTATTTGTCATGCTCATTACCCATTTCAACCAGAATAGTTTTATCTGAATGTTTTACAAAGCCCTGCCACAAATAATTGTACACAAAAAATGGGATGGTGCAACTTAATTATATTTCCCCAGTAATTCTCTCTCCTTTGGCAGGAAAATTATTTATAGAAGATACTTGTGATGGAAAATTTGATGAGCAGGGCAAGGAAATCTAAGTTCATGTTTATGTTACACATCCAGTAAACCTACAAATGATCTCATCACGCTGACAATGCCAGCAGATGTAAAAATTCCCACATCAAGAGTGTGACAAAAAGGCATGCCAGGTAATGAGAAGAACTAATCTCACCATTTTTACAGTACTGCTTTAAAAAAGTGATCAATGACTTGGGTCCTGAAGGGCCACACTGCAGCAGAAAAGACTAGTTAAAATGATGAAATCTAGGTACAAGGACATGTAGAGGCCAGAGAGACTGAGAGGTGGTGTGGTGGCTCTGTGCCTGGAAGGTTGCCGGTTCATATCCCACTCCGTTGGGCCCCTGAGCAAGGCCCTTAACCCCAACTGCTCCAGGGGCGCCGTATAAATGGCAGACCCTGCGCTCTGACCCCCAGCTTCTCTCTCCCTGTCTGTGTGTCTCATGGAGAGCAGGTCGGGGTATGCGAAAAAAGACAAATTCCTAATACAAGAAATTGTACAGTATACTGTATGGCCAATAAAGTGATCTTGTCCTAGATGAGGACTTCTGTTTTGACATGTTGCTCCCGGAGCCCTGTCATTGGTTATGCCTTGACATTTTCTGTGGCTCTGGTGGACCAGCTCTGATTAAAGCCCTGTTCTTCTCTCCTCAGGACCTGAACGGCGCTCTGAAGAGTCTGCTGTCAGAGTGGTTCTCGGCTGGCCTGTTGCAGCTGGAGAGAATCACCTGGCAGTCACCTTGTGAGACCCTCCAGAAAATTAGCCAGTAAGCCAAGTATGGTTTTTTGCTGGATGTTCTTTGTCCACACCTCAAGCAATATTTAGTTTGCAGGTTATTCAAGACACAGTCACAAAGACCTCCAGTGAGTCAAAGGATTCTCTGTAATGTTAATAGGCTGCCTGCTTCATGTACAGTCCTTCATGCATTCGAGAGCTTTACGCTTTCAGGGTTGTAAATGGTTCATGCATTTGATACTTAAAGTTCCTCTTGAGCAGCAGCGTGGTGCTACTGTATGGTTGAGCCTCTGGACTCCAGAAGGTCATGGGCTCAAATCCCGAGTGGAGCAGCTGCAGTCGTACCCTGGTACAAGAGACTTCACTCTGTCTGGTCCATTACAAGTGTCCTACAGTGTAACTAGGTACTCTCTGTTCTCTCATTCTCCCTCTAAATCAGGGCCCTCATCTTACCTGTCTAGTTAAATGAAAGATTAAATAAAACTAAACCTGAAAGGTTTCTCTAGAAACATGAGAGTCTGGGATTGTAGCAACCGCAGTTGTGTCACTCTCACAATTAGGGTAAATGAACACGACCAACTCGTACGGTTCTTTGTTCTTTTTAGACACTTTGTTAAATTAAGCTTCACACTTTTTGCCGCTGTGGAATTTTGCCCTTTTGATTTTGCAGAATCACTGAGGTACATCACTGAGAATGAGACATGTAAAGACTAAAAAAGGAAGTGGAATTATTTCTTCGCTGAAAAATTGAAAAGATTCTTCAGCCTTCAATGTTTACTTTTCACAAGACCATCTAATACAATTTAACATTGGGTCACATTCCCTTGTTAGGCCCAATAATATATTGACAATGTTTGCCATTGAGCACAACGATGAACCTTGTACAAGAGAGAGAAAAAACACTTTTACAGTTGAAACCAGCATGTAATAAAGATTCGGCTGGTTGACAAGCACAGCAGAACTACATCTTCTTCCTGTGCCTAGCAACCACCTGGCAGAGGCACCAATGAGGTGAATTGGAGGGGGGTTGAGGGGGCGCTGATTGGGTAAGTTGAAGTGTTAAAAGAAAAATAGCTGCTACTAATAACATTCTGTTTTTAAGAACTCCTATCTACAACAAGCTGGGCCATTTTTAAAGCTTTTTACCCCACAGCAAAAAAGTCTCCCTGTGCTATAACCAACCCTTCCCTGTCTAAAACTCTAAATAAATTCTCTTAAATACAGATTTGTTAAAATTGCTGGAGTTTATATGTGGTTAGAAAGCCTAACACACAAAAGGCTTCAGAAGTCAACCTCATAAATTTGTTCAAGGCAGCTGTCATCTTTCAAAGGAGTCTGTATGCTTAAGAGACATTTCTACCCCTGTTCAGCCAGGAGCCATTGTGTGAAATGCATTTGTTTCCATGCTGGCAGGTATGAGGCCGTTCACCCTGTGAGAAACTGGACGGATATCAAGCGTAGGGTGGGGCCCTACAGACGCTGCTACGCCTTCACTCACAGCGCCATGCCAGGAGAGCCCCTGGTGGTCCTGCACGTTGCGCTTACAGAAGAGATCTCTGACAATATCCAGGTCAGGATCAAGAGAGAGCTGTTCTTCCGTGGTCTTCAGCAGAGTTTCAGACATGTCTCCCCTGCCTCCAGTATTCATCCATATAGCTATCATTTCTGACTGGTATTGGATTTAATTTTCCAATATCTATTTTTCTTAGGATGGCAGGAGATTTGGGGGGAATATTTACTGTACCTCCAGTCAGTACAAACTCAATCTGCTGCCTCCTCAGTGCCTATTTGTCTGTCTGCACATTTATTTTTTTCACTTACAGAAATAAAAAGTGCTGTAAAAAAGTTTAGCAAGAGAACTTGGCCTCCGGGCTTTCCAGGTGACTCACAGATCACGGGTTTGAGACCACGTCATGTCACTAGCCAACTGTGACTGGTATTCCCAAGGCAGCGGGGCACAACTGACTGAGACCTACCATGGGTGGAGTGATATTAATTGACCAAGACTGTCTCAGTTCTTAGCGACACAGTGCCCCCTGTGACTTCCCAGGTACCTGCAGGCTTCCAGTGTGCCTCTGCTCCAGTCAGTGCTGAAGCCCTGGTACGAGTCTGGGTAGCCTGTGATGTGTTAAAAGACGAGTGGCTTGAAGGTAGGCAGGTCGGAGGAGACTGCCTGCGCTTCCTCATGCTCCCCGGTTGCAGAGTTTGCAGCCGTCAGTGCGACTTGAAAAACACAAATGACGAATCCGTATGAGGTGGGTGTGTCAGAAATAACTGGTGATTCTAAATTTATAAAAAAGAATACGTAGCCTCAGGAAGGGGCAAAAACAACTCGGGGAGAAAGAAGAAAAACATGAAATATGTGTGGGAACATGTGGTAAGGAATCATCGTGCATAGACACCAGTGGGAAACTTCTCTCTGTCTGTGGAGAGTAATGACAATTAAAGCTATAGAAAAACAGAAGAAAAATGAAATGTTTCTCATGTTATTGGTTTTGTGAATAGCCTAGTTTTTCAGTTCACTGTGAAATTTGCTTAAATCAGATTACCTTTAAGCTACCTTAGCAATCACTGGAAAAACCTTTTTTGTTGCGCTTGTCAGAAAGAGATATCATCAGCCATGTCCTTTATAATGGCTCCTTCACAATCTTGGTAATAATAGCTGTCAATCTCCCAACAACAAAAAGGTTTGGCCTTTTGTTTTTTTTAATTACAGTAGATGTGTCGTCAATTAAGATACTTGTCGCATTGAATTCACCTGTGCAAATTCATGTACGTTTCTCCTGGGAAGGTTCATTAATTTGTATTTACCGGTTGAAAATGGAAGTTACTGCCCATTAAGATGTCATGTACAATATAAAAATTTGATGCATCACAAAATAATCCAAACCTAACCTCATCATTTACTGTCCTTTTTGTAGAGCATCGTTAGGGAGTTTTCATCTCTGGACGCGGAGGAAGATATCAAGAAGATCAATGCCGCCGTTTTCTACTCCATTTCTTCAACACAAGCGGGCCTGCAGGGAGTGGAGCTTGGGAACTTCCTCATTAAGAAGGTGGTGCGAGAACTGCAGGTGGGCCTTGTGACTGGTCAGTAAGGGACGTAAAGACGTTGTGAGCTTCTGTGAAAGAGTGTGCTCCATTCCCCTGGCTTTCTGTGATCTCATCTGAGATCTAGACCCCACAGGCATGTGCCCTCGGAAGGAGAGGAACACACACCCTCTGTTTGATCCTCGTCGGAAGATCTGCGACTGCACATCCACAGCAGGGGTCACTACAGCTATGTATACATACAGTATCCTATTCAGTGTTGAGAAGCATCTCCAAAGTACAGAACTTCCTCGGTGCAGTCTATTTTCCTGAAGAGCGGAGGGAAGTGAAGATGTGCAGGGTAAAGAGATGTAGGGAACATGCTTTCAGGGTTTAATATGAGACACATCCTATTGCTAATTCAGCTCTCCCCACAAAACCCAGCAAGGTGCAGTATACTGAAAGGTGGTAGGACCTACTTTCATTGCATGTCATAAATAAAGGTCTAAGCGTAGCCAGAAAAGCGATAATCTTTTTTTTTTAATAAAGTACCTCTTCCATTAAATAAAAAAAATAGAGCTATTGCAAATCTATGAAGATGCAGCTCGGAGAATTAATTTGAAGACTCAGAGGGAATCTCACTTAACAGAAATAATGCAAATTGAATTGGCCTTTAAGGGTCTGTTCGTATAATTAGTAACAACTTAGTGAGTGCCTATATTTCTCCTTCTTTAAGTTTTTATCCCCTGTAAGTTAATTAAGATTCCCTACCGGTTTCCCAGTTGCTTTTTCAAACTTTCAAAATACCAAAATAATCCCAAACACTACATTACCCTTCGAAAAAGTAACAAAAAACAAGGTTATTTCAGTCAATCATAAGAGACTTGCATATGAAAAATGTGACATTAATAAGGGGGCAAAGTTAAGGAGCTGTGTTTTCATCATTTTCACCTGTTTCATTTTTTTTGGAAAATATACTATACGGGAAGTGATCATGACTGTATGAGTCATGATCATTTCAGTTGAAATGATACGACTGACAGTGCATTTTTTTGCCTTTGAAATACAAAAAAACATTTTTACTCCCCTTAACATAAAAAAGCCACAGGACTATTTACAAGATCCACAGTTTTCAGTTAGCTTATCCATTAGCATCATCTTACTGTATTTCAATGGTATGTACAAGCCATTGTTGTGTAGAATCCAATGTTTGAGAAAAGCACCAGTCTGCCTGCTGAAATAATGTCACGTGTACTGTATCAGCAGGAATTAAACAGTTTTAGCTTTAGTTTTTGAGCTTAGGGTTGACATGACATCTAGACATTTAAGGCTGTAGGTGTTTCTAGTCCATAGAAACTGTTTCTGCTGCCACATTGTTGATGATACAGTACAGTTTGTGTAATAAAACCCTTTGTGCTGAAGGTCAGTAAATGATATCACTTCCAACTGCAGGAGAAACTCAGTGGCCCAGGTGTAATGTCAGTAGCTCTCTCTCACCAAAGAGTCCCGCCAAGGGTAGGATTGGGATAAATCAGTTAGGGCTCCCGAGGTGAAACAACAATCCTGCAGACTTGCAGAGTTACAAGTGAGAAAGGCACCACTAATCCAGTTGGTGCCAGCACTCCTGTAACTCTCCTGCACAGGTGTCAAAGGATGAAGTGCTCTGATGGACTTGCAGGTTGAAGGAGTGTGTCTAAGCACCTGCGTTCTCACTGTGCTGTACAGGACAGGTATCTATGAGCACAAACGTGAAGATTATCCAGATTAAATGGGCGTAAAATGGGAAATGCAGAAGAAATGTTTTTAAAAAATCCCAAGAGAAAGAAAAAAGAGTGTCAACAGTGGAATGGGCAAAGAAAGAATAAAAAGATTGTTTTAAGTCCGTATATCAGTGCTCCAGGAATGCAAAAGTCCACTATTCAACCTAAGGTTTTTTTTCAGCAAAACATTTCCCATCTCTCTCTTCCCATCCTCTTCCTTTCCTGCACCTGCTGTCACACCTGCGTCCCCAAACGGTGTCTGCCTCCAGATTACATAACTGACACTGACATTTCAGCTTGTGAGCGCCAGGGGGATGAAAAATAATGAAATTTCAGCTGTCACCTTCAATAATCGGGAATGCAAAAAATATTCAGTGTCTGGGAGCTACCTTTTATTAAATGAGGAGTGAATTGAATGGAAAGCATGTGGCATTCGGCTTGATAGATTTAAATTACTTTTTTTTCTTTACATAAACAAAAGCATTCATGGAAGATTAACCCTCTCTTGCTGAGTGTGTTCGGATGTAGCCTCTGAGCAACTGGGAGCCACATGATTTATAGAGGAAGAGAGGATTTCACTGTGAGCTGACATATGTTTTGAAGAAAAATTGTCTTTCCAGTAGAACAGTGTATTCGTTACAAACAAGATATCACTTGTCCCCCAAATGGCTACGGTTTGGGGTTTTCAACCTTGTCTGGTTAGGAACCCCCTTTAAAGAAATACATGTCAATAAACGTCCCCAAATTAGATAGAAAGTCTAATTGAAGTCTGCATTTATAAATAATGCTTATACTGTACATATCCAAAGATATTATAATCTACTTCAGATCTAGCAGGCTGAATTGTACTTTTCCTCACACAGACTGGGAAGCATTACCTGTACCAGGATTGTGATTAGCTGAAACTACCGTCACTGTATACAGTAGGTAACAGATGCTTTCTTACTTCCCTACCTGCAGGAGGAAAAGCCTGTATTTATCTAGTGTTTTCACAAAGTTTAAAATAGCGTAAGGAAGACGGGTGAGAGAACAATTAGGGAACAATGAGCATCGTATGGCAAGTTGTGAAGTAAATTTTGAAACTGTACTAAAGCAAAATACAAGGAAACCAGGCTATGAAGGAATGAACTGAACCAGCTAGATAACGTCCACATTACCCTGAAGGCCTCTGGTCCTCTGGTGTTTGGGGGATCATGGTGACATTACCCAGACTCAAACTCACAACATCTGACAGAAATCAGCCTGCACCCCTAGTGACCCTCCTTAATGACATTTAAGATATTCATGTTGCTATATGCTTGTGTTTACATACACATTGAATTAAACTAATGTTTGATTTCTTGACTTTTTTCTATTCAGAGTGTGACATTAGCGGGAAAATATTTTCCAGCCGTTATTAATACCTTTGCCTCATTGACTACGCCTTGCATTACATTAGTGTTCCAAAAGACATGTCTGTTGTCACTAACTGCAACCTCAATGTTCAAAAATGCATAGCCCCCATGTCCCAAGGGCACTGAAATGGATGTGCTGACAGATTTCTAACCTTCTCTGTAGAATGAAAGGTTTAAATACAACTTTCTTCCGGAACCTGACAGTGAAATAGGACACTGCTTAGACAGTAATGAAATTACCTAGCTCTTTCTTAGTAACCTTATGAAAATCCAAAAGATTACTGTTCACTGGAGGGTGTCTGGCAGATTACATTTATGCAAAGGTTCAGTGGTAAGTGTTTTAATTTACAGATATCTCCGCTGAGAAAATAGTAAGTGCAAACACATAAAAAATCATATGAATAAATGAATAGAATGAATCTACCAAAGGAAAGCTTTTAAAATACATTACTGCCAATAACCAGGGTCAAACCTGCAGTCCCCAAAGGAGATGTCTCTTTTATTGCCAAGGAGGCTTACAGATGGCTTAATTAGCGGTTATTGAACTTCACATGCACACCTACATCTATGCCAGTAAATATCGGGGTCACAAAAAATGATTCTAATATAACAGAGAAGGAAAGGTCATAGGATATAATAGGGGTGAGGGAAACCACTTTCTAAGAATCATTCAGAATTGTAATTACAGGTATTGCAGCTCTTTTCTGTCTCCATAATGTACGCTGCTCATCCCACATGTCTTACTCAGTGACTCGATCATGCCTGGTGTTCTAATGCCAGTGCAGCTGTCGATATACAGTAACTGCGGGGACTTTATAGCGTAACTATACAGGAGTATTTCTAGCTTAGCTTGTAACAGAGGTGATTGCTGAAATTAAACACGTGGATAATTTGACTTTAATACTTGAGCTGCTTCAGGATTTTTTCAAATTAATTACAGTAAAATTATCTAATAACTTACCTTCTCATACTGCATCTTAGCGTTTTTGCTTCGCATGAACGTATGAATGACAACTGTAGTAGCTAATAATTAAGCTTGTTTAAATTGCATTAGGAAGAGTGCCATAAAAAGAGGGAACAGAAACAGAGCCTGCTTAACACAGAACGAGAATGGCAAGAGAAGTGTCTTCTTTTCAGCCTGGCTTTTAATGCCCCAGCAAGAAATGAGAAAACAAGAGAATTTAGCTTCCTAGTTCCATTGATGAGATGATCTTGTGTGGATCTTGATATGCCTCATCTGCTACATTTCCTGAGTCAACAGTATGCCGATACTCTATCTGTTCAGCCAAGATGAACAGGGGCTCATTTCACCTCTTTCAGCATAGTACGAGGTCATCCATCTCCATCACTAGCCTTGGTGAAAATGTCTGGAGGCTGTGCAGTCTTAGACAGTACATTTCCATTCCCCGTCTGCTTTACAGTCAGAGTAGCCTTTTAAAATGGTGCGTGTGTGTATATATAATGTACATGCACACTGTATATGCATATGGAGTTGATAGACTAAAGCACAATCCATCAAGTTTCAGGTTAGGGAATTCGGGTGATATTTATCTGTCATTCCTTACTTCCTAAATATGAGAAATGTAGGGGAGACATCCATATTATGTCAACCAAGTACTTAGTAATACAACAAGCAGTCAGAAACACATTATCCTATATAAAGTCGTCCCTCCTACCTGTCATGGAATAGAATGTTATTTTTATGAGTCCGCACAAATTCTTTTTCTCAAAGGGCACGGAGGTTATGAAGACAATATGACAATCAAAAGGTTATTAGTCGAGTGTGTGAAAGTACATGATGGCAACAACCTGATGCACCGACTGAACCGGACTCAGCACTGATGTGGAAAACCTCTCAGAAAAGAGATGTTTTTATTCAAGGCTAGTGGATAGCCATGTGCTGTATGTACACTGAAGTTCGTTTAACAAACTCCTTTTTTAATCTCTCTGAGGACCTTTGAAAAATGAGAGAATGGTTGCTCTGTATTTTCCAGTCATTTTATCAGGGTGGGTTTTTTGCAGAGTGCCTGCTGCTTTATCCCATGAATAGGGATTGTGAGTCAGAATATTTGAAATAGTTGAGTGTCATGTTCTACAGACTTTAGTGTCGTCATTTTTTTTAATTTGTTTGGCGAAGGTCTGCCAGAGATTTTGCTCCGTTGTTTAGATGCCCTCTAGTAAAGGAGGGAAACATTCACTGTAATGAGATCTTAATATGAAATTGCATTTTGAAAATCAACATTCTAAGTCATATTAAACTATGATCTAATGCTTTTTAATTACACATAAAAAGTGAATTGCATATGTATATATACAGTATATTGTGTATCTGTATATATTGCCATCACTGAGTGTTCAGTTTTGCGAAAAATTTTAATTCAGTAGAGATTCAAAATACCTACAAGAGTGTAATCGTTGTGATCAATTACACCTTATTGAAACTTATACAGCATAGAATCAAATGACCTTTTTTTTTACTGAGAAACTATTGTACTCCTTTACTATATATAGTAGCATTTTCTAGAGTGATCTGGGTAGAATATATTTCTTGAGGCTACAGCAGCAAAGTCCTCAGCTGGGACGGGAACTCGTGACCCTCGCAAGTCCAGAGCCTTAATCAGACTTTAAATCACTGCCACCCCATCTAATAATCTAACAGACCTCCATCCATTTTCTAACCGTTTTATCCCATACCGGGTCGCAGGGGAGCCGGAGCCTATCCCATCAGGCAACAGGCGTCAAGCAGAATACACCCTTTATGGCACGCCATGCCATCGCAGGGTGAGTCTTCCTGAAACCCAGTTATCCGACCAGGATGCTTTTGGACTGTAGGAGGAAACAGGATCACCTGGAGGAAACCCACGTGAATACGGGGAGAGCATTCGAACTCCAGGCAAATAGCACCCCAGGAATCAAACCCAGGCCCCCAGCACTGCGAGGGAACAGTGCCAACCACAGTGTCACCGTGCCACCTGAGAGTAGACTTCACTGTCAGAGTTTCTGCTTGATCCGACACTGTCCCTTCTCTCCCTTCGTTATTTTAAAGGAAGCGTAGGGGGCTTTCAGGAGAAAAAAAAATAGCGGAGGGGGAGATCGTATTTTTTTGAACAGCCCTGCCTCGGTGACCCCCTCTCGCGTTGTGCCTTTCCAGGGCGAGTTTCCTCACCTGACGCAGTTCTCCAGCCTGTCTCCCATCCCTGGCTTCACCGGCTGGCTGCTGGGCCTGCTGAAGGGCGCGCGAGGCGGCGGCCTGCTGACGGGGACGGAGTGGGAGGAGGTGGCGGCCG